TTTTAATCTGTGTCTCTTTTGAGATTTGAAGTGAGTCTTTTGTCAACAGCATATAGACAGGTCTTGTTTTTTATCCATTCAGTGACTCTATGTCTTTTGATTGGTGTGTTCAGACCATTTACATTTAGGGTGATTTTAGATAGATATGTGCTAATTGCCATTGCAGGCTTTAGATTCGTGGTTACCAAAGGTTCAAGGGTAGCTTCTTTACTATCTAACAGTCTAACTTAACTCACTTAATATGCTATTACAAACATAATCTAAAGGTTCTTTTTTTCCCTCCTTTTTCTTCTTCCTCCATTCTTTATATATTAGGTATTCTGTACTCTCTGTGTATCCCTTGACTGACTTTGTAGTTAGTTGATTTAATTTTACATTTGCTTGGTAATTAATTGGTCTACTTCCTTTACTGTGGTTTTATTTTTCTCTGGTGACAGCCATTTAACTTTAGGAAGACTTCCATCTATAGAAGCCCCTCCAAAATACACTGTTGAGCTGGTTTGTGGGAGGTAAATTCTCTCAACTTTTGCTTATCTGGAAATTATTTAATTCCTCCTTCAAATTTAAATGATAATCTTTCCAGGTAGAGTATTCTTGGTTTGAAGCCCCTCTGTTTCATTGCATTAAATAGATCATGCCACTCCCTTCTGGCCTGTAAGGTTTCTGTTGAGATGTCCAATGTTAGCCTGATGGGTTTTCCTTTGTATGTGATCTTTTTTCTCTCTCTGGCTGCTTTTAATACTCTGTCCTTATCCTTGATCTTTGCCATTTTTATTATTATATGTCTTGGTGTTGTCTTCCTTGGGTCCCTTGTTTTGGGAGATCTGTGCAACTCCATGGCCTGAGAGACTATGTCCTTCCCCAGGTTGGGGAAGTTTTCAGCAATTACTTCCTCAAAGACACTTTCTATCCCTTTTTCTCTATTCTTCATCTGGTACCCCTATAATGTGAATATTGTTCCATTTGGATTGGTCACACAGTTCTCTTAATAGTCTTTCATTCTTAGAGATCCTTTGTTCTGTCTGTGCCTCAACTTCTTTGTATTCCTGTTCTCTAATTTATATTTCATTTATCATCTCCTCTACTTCCTCTAATCTGCTTTTAAATCCCTCCACTGTATGTTTCATTTCAGATACTGTGTTTTTCAAAGTTTCTATCTCTTTCTTGAATTCCTCCCTACAGTCTTGAATATTTTTCTGTAGCTCTGTGAGCATATCTATGACTTTTATCTTGAAATCTTTTTCAGGAAGATTGGTGAGTTCAGTTTCACTGGGCCCTCTTTCTGGTGTTTGTGGTATTTTGTTTTGTACCAGTTTCTTTTGACCTTTCACACTTGTAAAAATAACAGTGAAAGTGGCACCCTCTAGTGCCCATAAGCTCTACTCTCTGGAGCTGCTCAGCCCTTGGAGTGATGACAGGGGCCCCAGGCAAATGGCACTGGTGTCTGGCAGAAGGAAAGAGCTCTTTCCTGCTTCCTGGCTGCAGTGCTTTCCTCCACTGCCAGGGTCAGTGGGCCGAGCATGCAGGGAGGAGCCTCTATGCTATGCCCTTGTAGCTGCTGTAGGCAGGGCCACCCTCTGGCTAGCCTTGCGCAATGGTGTGGGCAGCAGGTTTGCAATTTCTTGCCAGTAGGGTGGAAGGAGCGGCAGGCTGGGTATTGCAGTGGGGGTGTCTCAGAGCTGCATTGCCCACCAGGGGGATGGAGTGCCTGCAGCTCCTGAAAGTTGCCAACCTGCTAGGCTGAGTGTGCCAGTACAGTGTTGTCCCCCTGTCCTTTCTCCTGAGTAGCAAACTCTGTGCAATCCTTGCCCATTTAGCATCCCTCTTGCTGTTGGGAAGTCTCTCAGAGTGCCCGCCTTTCTTTTGTCCCAGAGTGGCCAGTTGTGGGTACCTGTTCTCCACAAGCAGTTGGAATCTCAGTGTCTCCAGATATTCTGCCTGTCTTAGCTTTCCAACCTCACTCATCTCCAGAACACTATGTAATGTAGGTTCATGCTCCCTGGGCAGATCTCCAGGGATGGGTGTTCAGCAGTCCTAGGCCTCCACTCCCTCCCTGCTCTGTTTCTCTTCCTCCTGCTGGTGAGCTTGGGTGGAGGGAAGGGCTTGGGTCCCACCAGATTGCTGCTTTGGTACTTTATCCTTTTCCATGAGGTCTGCTCTTTTCCCCAGATGTAGGCAGTCTGTTGCAGCCTTCTTTCCTGTTGCTCTTTCAGGATTAATTGTATTTGCTATATTTTCATAGTATATGTGGTTTGGGGAGTTAAGTTTCTGTCTCACCTCTCACGCTGCCATCTTTAAGCCAATCTAAAAAGAAAAACATATGCTGTATTTTTCAAGGTTTCTCTTTCTTGAAGTCTGTCCTGATATCTTGAATATTTTTCTGTAGCTCTGTGAGCATGTTTATGACTTTTATTTTGAAATCTTTATCAAGAAGATTGTTGATTTCAGTTTCACTTAGCCCTGTTATTGGTGTCTGCTGAATTTTTTACAAAATTTTTTTGTAGTTTCAGTTTTCTAGTGATTCATATGGAATAATAACTTTGTGTAGGCGGCACTCTCTAATGCCCAGAAGCTCCACTCTCTGGAGCTGTCAAGCACCTGGAGTGATGTTGGGGGGTGCATTTGAGAGGCACTGGTGCCTGCCAAGAAGGAAGAGCTCTTTCCTGCTTCCCAGCTGCAGTGCCTGCCTCCACTGCCAGGTGCAATGGCTGAGTATGCAGGGAGGAGCCTCTGCATTATGCCCCTGTAGCTATTGTAGGAGGGGCCACCCTCCAGCTTTCCTGGCATGTTGGCAGGGGCAGCAGGGAGGAAGGAGCGGCAGGCTTCATGTTGCAGCGGTGGGTCTTGGGGCTGTGTTGCCCACCATGGGGATGGAGCAACTGAAGCTCCTGAAAGTTCCCAACCTACTTTGATGAGTATGATGGGATGATTTTGTCAACCTGACGTTTCTCCTGAGCGGCAAGCTCTGTGTACTCCTTGCCCCTTTAGCACCTCTCACTGTTGGAAAGTCTTCCAAAGTCCCCACCTGTCTTTTGTCCTGGAGCGGCCTGTTGTGGGTACCTGTTCTCCACAAGCGGCTGGAATCTCAGTCTCTCGTGAGTATTCTGCCTATCTTTGCTTTCCAGCCCCACTAATCTCCAGAGCACCATGTAAGGTGGGCTCATGCTCCCAGAGCAAATCTCCAGGCCTGGGTGTTTGGCTGTCCTAGGCTTATATCCCTCCGTGTTCCATTTCTCTTCCTCCCACGTGTGAGCTGGGGGATGGGGGAGGGCTTGTGTCCTACTGGACAGTGGCTTTGCTACTTTACTCTTTTCTGTGAGATCTTCTGTTTTTCCCAGATGTAGGCAGTCTGTTCTGCAGTCTCTGTGTCGCTCTTTCAGGATTAGTTGCATTTTTTTTTTCGTGTTATATGTGGTTTTGGGAGGAGATTTCTGCCTCACTTCTCATGCTAACATCTTTTTCCCCACCTAGGTATCTTCAAATTTTAAAATTATGGACTATACATTCATAATATGATGTGTCACTCCAGGCGGGGGAAATATGTTCCCAGCCCAGGGCAAATAACCTTTGAAGCCAGAGTCAGTCAAGGGAGAAATAAAGTGGGAGAAACCTGTTAATTACTTACAGTCATCCACTTCTGCTCACCCATGTCTCTAACAACGTAGCCGCAAGAAGGGACCCGACAAAACCTCTCAGGTCCTGATATGACCTGGCTCCCCCTTGTAATCACCTATTGATATGGAGATGGTACTTCTCTACACCCCTTGGAAACACCTATTGATATGGAGATGTACTACTGTCAGGTGAGATGTTCTGGAAATACTGCAGTTTTACCCACAGATATCAAGGTAGGAGGACAGAGCATATTTTATTTTCGTTTGATTGTTTTTAAGCACTTGCACATAGACAGAAGGCATGTGGGCCTCCCTGTGAATTCTCACCTGGAGAGGCTGTTGCTGGCCTCCCCAGGGGAAGAAGGGCAGTGCTCTCAGTAGTGAGGCCCTGCCTTTCTCCCTGAAGCTCCAAGGTGTCCCAACCAGGGCAGGGCAGACCTGACTGCAGGAAGATGGCATCGCCATTCAGAGGGGCTGAAGGGAAGGGGCTGAAGGGAAGGAGTCCGAGATGTAGCTTGAGATGTGACGGCAGGACACCTGGACAAACTAATCCACGAGATACGAAATGGTCAAAGCCTTAAGGATGAGGAACAGAAGTAGAGGCCCCAAGAGATGGCAGACACGGAATGGAGAGGAACTCCCAATCTGGGCATCTGCAGACCTGGCTCCTGTAAGCTCTGCCCTGCTGGGCCTGCGCCTGGGGGCTTCCTCCACACCTCAGCCTAGGCCTCCTCACGCTACAAGGGCTTGACAGCAGCTGACTCCCTGGCCGAGCGTACAGAGCAGCACTTGTGAGCCTTTATAGTCCAGAGTCCCCTGAATGTGCTCTGGGATGGAATCTTGGGCAGGTCTGCGTCAGCGGCGGGCAGAGGGGTGTGGAGAGGGGGAACAGCCCCAGGATGGGGCCTGCTGACCACAACCTCCGTCTTGCTGGTCCCCTGGCCCCCGCAGAATGCTGGGGCCCCACAGGGAACGGACCCCGCCTTGAATGCTGCTCCCTGGTACCCAAGGCCCCAGGCCCCACTCGGCCTGGCCCTCCTTTCTCCGTGGCCGCCTCTCCCTCGTTATCCGCGGCAGCTCCTGAGCCGCTATTTCCCCGATGTGGAAACGAGCTCCTCATTTCCCCGCGGGGGGAGGCCTTTCTTCCTTTGCTCACGACAAAAACGACCCGACCGTAGCTCCTCCGTCCGTCCGAGAGGCAGGCCAGGCCCCACCGTGGTCGGCCTCCGACGGCATTCGGCCAAAGGCCCAGGAGGCGACGGCTTAGAAGAGCCGAGCAAGGCCCCAGCTCTGCCTTAGGCTTCCGGTCTTGGAAACCCGCGGCCAACCACCACCTGGCCGGCAGAGCCGGACTCCCGGGCCCCGGCCCCCAAGGCTGCGGCGCGAGGGTCACGTGCCGCATCCCCTCCGCGCCTGTTCATGTGTAAGGGTGGAGGGACCCGTGGCCAGAGCACCCTAAGGCCACCGCAACGCGATCAGCCCCGCAAGACCGTCCAGCGGAGGCAGAGCGGCAGGAACTACATTTCCCATTCTGCTGTACGGCCTGGACTCCACCTCCCAGCAGCGCCCGCGGCGCCTCTCGAGGACTCCATCTCCCAGAGTGCGCCGGGAGAGCCGCCCCGCCCCGCCCCCTCCCCCGGGCCGGCTGGAGACACCTCGCGCAGGAAGCAGCTCTGTGGTGCGAAGTCGGTGGTGCAGGGCTCAGGTGAGAGGGCACGGGGAACCGAGGGAACCCCGGGGGGCGCGGTGTGGCGAGCCGGGGCCTTGGCTCTGGGTGCTGCGTGACAGCCAGAGAGCCCTGAAGGGTGCCGGACCCCCGTGGCGTGGGAGAGGGCCCAGCTGCAACATGCCCAAGGGCTTGGAGGTGGCCCGGGGGCTCGGAAGAGCATCGGACGTGTGGGAGGGACCTGTGAGGATGGAGGTGGCCCGGGGACTCGGGGATCCGTGGTGTGGGAAGGGGCCCGGCCGCGGTTGGGTCGCCCCACCAACCTGCAGGTAGACTCCCGTAGGGGCTGGCCCAGTGGGGCCCTGCAGCGATATCGGAGACGTCCTGAAGGGGTTCCCGAGCAGATTTCTGGCCCCCAGGATAAGGTCCTCGAGGGTGGTGGCTCCCCGAAGCCTGTCCAGTTCTGAGCCGGAAGCGTGACCTGCCCAGTTGGAACTAGGCTGGCAAGGCTTCCCTAGACCGCTTCCCGCATCAGTAGCATATGGGCTTTAGCTGCAAGCAATCCTAATGATCTGGGTCAGGAGACCCCAGCCCCAAGGTTGTCTGCCTCCTCTCGTCAGTCCAAAGAAAGCAGCATGTTTCCTTTCACTTCCCTGTTGGGAGTCATGGGTTGGGCTTGCAGGGTGAAGTCTGGGACCTACTCTCTTGGACAGTTGCTGTGGGGCCAGTGCTATGAGCAGTGACCACAAGTGGACGCCTGTCATGGAAATGGAGTTCCTTTGGGTGGTCTCAGACTCAGGACATTTGGCTCTATAGGTGCAGCCAACATGGGTGAGCCCCAGGGGTCCATGCGGATCCTAGTGACGGGGGGCTCTGGGCTTGTCGGCAGAGCCATCCAGAAGGTAGTAGCAGATGGAGCCAGGCTGCCTGGAGAGGACTGGGTGTTTGTCTCATCCAAGGACGCTGATCTCACGTGAGTGGGCCCACATGTGAAGCACACCACCCCTCCCCAACCCTACCCCCATGCCCTCTCCAGACTGAGTGCTCCCAGCCAGGCCTGTCCCTAAGCCTAGAAGCTTTATGCCTGGGCCTTCCCTGCCAGATGGCTGGCTTGATCTGGGTTCTAGGCAAACATCCTCTCCTCTCTTCCTGGAAGCCCACACCCTCATGCCAGCCAGTGCCTGAACTGGCTGTTTTTCCTTTTGGTGGCTCCTCCCACCATCTGCCCTTCCCAGCTCTGGACCCTAGCACCCGACCCCAGGCCTCTAGGGGGCCCCTGACAGACTGGCTCCCCTCCAGGGACACTGCACAGACCCGAGCCCTGTTTGAAAAGGTCCAGCCCACACATGTCATCCATCTTGCTGCAATGGTGGGGGGCCTGTTCCAGAATATCAAATACAATTTGGACTTCTGGGTAAGTGAGGGGAGCCCCAAAGAGCACTGGGAGCCAGGAGCCCAGGTTCTGGGAACTTTCTGGCTATCTACCTATGCTTATGTTCCAGCCCCAGGTCAGGGCTGGGCACAACCTCGTGGAGGCAGCCCAAGGGGCCCCCAGTGACCCACACTTGGTCTGTAGGCAGAGGGGTATACAGGTGGGCCTGAGGGCATTTGGCCCAATAGGGAAAGCCATGGAGCTAACTGGCCAATGGGGAAGCAGAGAGAAGTCAGCATTCGCTGCATTATCGGAGGCTGGTCCCTGCTCCCTGAGCTCTCTGGGCCTCCAGACCCTCCTGCTCCCAGAACCTCTCCAGCCCAGCTGCACTGAGCCGGGCTCACTGTGCACTCTGGCATCGGAGGTGTGTGCCATGTGGGGATGGGGCAGGTGGAGAGTGGAGCTCTGCTGGTAGCCCTGCCCCTGCCGGGCTGTGCTCTGGAGGGCTGGCCCCACTGTCTCTGGGCAGCTGGCATGGTTGTGTCAGCCCTGCACCAGGTCTTGGATCGTACAGGCTCAGACCAGATTCTCTGTGGGGCTCCGCCACCCCAGGGCCTGCCTTGTCTGAGGTGCTGCCTTCCCAGCTGGCCTCCCAGCCACCACTCTCCTGTTGCCCCAGACCCGTCCAAGTGTCCAGGCCATCTCACGCCCAATTACTGGAGGGGGTAGTGGGGTGCGTGGAGGGCGGGCTCTCCAAGGCTTCCCTGCTACTGAGTAGTGTGTGGGTGAACTCTGGGTGGGGGAGTGGAGGGGCCCCTTCTCCCAGCTCCAGCCCCAGATCAGGCCCCTTGGCTCCTGCACTACCTGCTCTGCCCTCAGCAGCCCCTGGTAGGGGGCCCAGCCATGAGTTGGGGGGCCTTCCCTGGCCTAAGGGAAGGCAGACTGGGACCCTCCTACAGCCCTGGGGGTGGGCCTGCTTGCTAGTGAGGCTGCCTACAGGCCTGGAATGGCCATGGTTTCTAGGTCTGAGCTGGGAAGCTCCGCCTTATCTGAAGAGCGATTAGGACTGGCTGCATCAGGATGTGGCTGCGTGGGAGGGGCCTGGGTGTGCCCCTCTCCCTGGAGGACCTGGTAAGTCCTGCCTTGAGGGGTCTGAACCCATCCCCATCCCTCCTCAGCGGAAAAACGTGCAGATCAATGACAACGTCCTACAATCGGCTTTTGAGGTGGGCGTCCAAAAGGTGGTCTCCTGCCTTTCGACCTGCATCTTCCCAGACAAGACCACCTACCCTATCGATGAGACCATGGTGAGGGGGCAGGGCTTGGCCTGGGGGGCTGGCCTGGGAGCGGGCCAGGAAGCAGCAGCCACCTCTGCTCCCCCAGATCCACAATGGGCCTCCACACAGCAGCAACTTTGGCTACTCCTACGCCAAGAGGATGATCGACGTGCAGAACAGGTCCTTGCGCCTGCCCTGCTGGGCCAGCCAGGAATGGGGGAGGAGGGCCCCAGTGCCCACTGGGTCGAGAGTCCAGTGGGTAACCCTGGCAGGGCTCGTAGGCCTTCTTGGCCCTCCTTACCAGCCTCCTTACCTTCATCTGTAAGAGTCCAGGTGGGTGGGGTCAGGTCAGTGCCTCCAGGGTGAGGCTGGCACTGCCTGTGCCCCTACAGGGCCTACTTCCAGCAGCACGGCTGCGCCTTCACTGCTGTCATCCCCACCAACGTCTTTGGGCCCCACGACAACTTCAACATCGAGGATGGCCATGTTCTGCCTGGCCTCATCCACAAAGTGCACCTGGCCAAGAGTGAGTGCCCACTGCCCAGCACTCTTGGTCAGGTTCCCTGCCTGAGGGGGTCCCTAGGGCTCAGCTGGGAGGAGGAGGTGGTGGCTGGCACAGCCCCCTCTGACAGCTGCCCCCTCCCCGAATCTGCAGGCAGCGGCTCAGCCCTCACAGTGTGGGGCACGGGGAAGCCACGGAGGCAGTTCATCTACTCACTGGTGCGTGTGGGATGTGCACAGCTCTGCCCCAGAGTGTCCCCCATACAGGCTGGTGGGGACTGTGGCGGGAAGGAGTGTGAGGCCAAGCCATGCACCACAGGAGCAATTGCTGGTCCTCGCTGAGTCCCTGTAGATGCCTGGCGTCCACAAGGTGCTGGGTGCCCCTCTGAGCTCAACAGGAGAAAGGGCTCAGCCCATTGGCTGAGCTGGCTAAAAGCAACCCAAAGGGAAGGACCCCCTGCCCCAGCAGAGCCAGGGCTGTGCCCTCACTGGACAGGGGCACTTGGGAGAAGCCACTGTGGCTGTTGACCCTGCCTGTCTCACCTCTAGGACCTGGCCCGGCTCTTCCTCTGGGTCCTGCGGGAGTACAGAGAGGTGGAGCCTGTCATCCTGTCAGGTGGGCACAGTTAGCCCCACCCCCACTGCAGCAGGGCAGGACCCACATCTGTCCTGAGAGCCACTGGGGCTGGGGGGAGCAGGAACATCTGAGGGGGCTGGGCAGCAGCAGGGCCAGGCAGGGCAGGGCTGACTAGCCTCGGCCCCTCACTCCCTGCAGTGGGTGAGGAGGATGAGGTCTCCATCCAGGAAGCAGCTGAGGCTGTGGTAGAGGCCATGGACTTCCATGGGGAGATCACTGTATCCTTTGGCTCAGGGTTGGGGCACTGGGCCTTCCGACAGAGACCACAATCTGATGCACCTGATGGCATTCATCTTGGCAGCCGGGGTTGCGGGGGTCTACTGTTCGGTCTCTGAGGCTCCTCCTGGGAAAGGAGGAGGAGGTTCAAGGGCAGGGGGGCAGCTCCATCTGCTGTGGCCTTGACCAGGCACCCAGTTTGATACAACCAAGTCCGATGGACAGTTTAAGAAGACGGCCAGTAATGGCAAGCTGCGAGCCTACCTGCCTGACTTTGAGTTCACTCCCTTCAAGCAGGGTGAGCCCCTGCCCCTCCCACCCCACACCTCAGGACCCCCCAGCCCCTCCTTCATGGCTTTGGGCCAAATGGCCCCTCCCCAGGCCTCAGCTTCCCTACTGCCAGGTTGTTGGTCTCCAAACCCTCATCAGGGAGGCAGGACACAGTGGGTGACTGCCCTATGTCACTGGGTCTCTGCCCTCCCCACCTCCTCCCATGGAGGTCAGTGTAGCCCCGCCCTCACCTGCTCCCTTCCCTCACCTGTCCACCTTTGCAGCTGTGAAGGAAACCTGTGCCTGGTTCAGTGACAACTATGAGCAGGCCCGGAAGTGAAGTGCAGTGGTGGAAGTGGGTGCCGGCCTCCCCCAAGGTCCCAGCTGCTGCTTAGCTGGCAGAGTCTAGTGCAACCACGCTCAGACCCTGCCGGGAGTAGTGAGCACAGCTCCGCAGCCTGAGCCCGTGTTCCACCCCCTCCACCAGGGTGGCTCTGGGCAGCTGTCCAGCAGGGCCACCATTCTTGTGTGTCCTCAGGGAATCCACAGCCTGGCCAGGCCCGGCACCTTATTCTCCCAGTGCCAGTCCCCAGGTCTTGCATGTGTGCACTGCTGACCTGCTCTCCCAATTCCCAGGAGCCAATAAAGTCCATTTACACAGGCCTGGCCCCGCAGCTCTGTGCCACAGTTCCCCACACACAGGCACTGCACCCTGAGCCCGGCCAGCCCAAGTCCCACTGTCCCCTGCTGACTGCTCAGCCCCTGAGACCTGCTGGGCCAGGGTGGCTGACAGTCCCCAGGGAGGAAAGGTGGCAGCAGCCAGAGACTGGGAAAGGCAGGTGTGCTGGCAGAAGGCAGGCAGGCTGGTGGGGAGACGGGATGGACTATCAGCTGGTGGGGACGCAGGGCAGAGCATCTGCAGCAGTCCTGTTGTGGCCATGGCCAGAACCCAGCCTGTATATTCCTGGCCACTTGCAGACCTAGGTGACTTGAGCTCCTCTGAGCTTCCCCCTCAGCCCCAGTACTTTGGGGAAAGAGACTGGGTCTGGATTCTGGCAGGCTAAATGGGCACATGAATGGATCCAAGGAAGGGTGGCTCAGGCTCCTGTGGGCAGGAGAGAGCTGGGCCAGGCCTGGTCCCTCATCTGTCTAGCCCTCAGGCAGCAGCTTGGATGGTGAGGTCTGGCCTGTCCATTTCCCACAGACGGTAACAGGTGTCACGCAGGAGGGCCCAATAGGCCTGGTGAGTGTAGGGAGGTGAGTGGTACAGGACTCCCTATTTTCAACAGGAATGCAGCTGATAGGTCCCCAGCCAGAAAGTCAGCACCAAGCATGGAGCCAGAGTGCCCTGCTCCAAAGGCCGCAGGCCAGAGCCCACTTGCCTGCCATGCCTAGAACCCAGGCATCTGCCCTGGCCCCAGACGTAGCCTTGGGCCCACCTCTTCTCAGGTCCACTCTCCCAAGTCGCCCTTTCCCGTCCCACACTGATGACTCCCAGCTTTCTTCTGACCCCTGTCACTTGCCTGCCATAGTCATTCCGTCCTTTGTTTATTCTGGCCATATTAGCTGTCTTTCCTGTGCCAGGCCCCTGTCCCTCTGCCCAGCTCACCTCATTGCATTTGTCACCACCCCCTTTCTGTCTGGCAAACCAAGGTATTTATCCTCTGGGGCTCCCCAGGGGCTGGGCCTGGCCTCTCTCATGTCAGTGCCTCCCCACATTTTCGGCCTCAGTTGAGGTGATCTTTCCTTTTTGAGGCCCACCCTGCTGTGCAGGATTGCCTGTTTGCTTGTCTGGAAACACCTAGGAGCACCCGTCCAGCCCCAGCCCCCACCCCTGGCGCTTGGAGCTCCAGGACCCTGGTTGGCCCTTCATGGTGTATCCCCAGAGCACCAGCTCTTTGTGAATGAAGGCTCTGCCTGTGTTGGGGTCAGGGAGAAGGTGGCACTTGAGTTGGATCAACCAGGTGAGAATGGTAAGGGGGCCCAGCACGGAACAGAGACCTGGACACAGCTGGCGAAACACAGGTAGTGAAGTGTCCTGAGCCCTGCCCTGGCCATCCTGTGTGTGTGTGTGTGTGTGTGTGCATTTACTAGAGAGGGGCTCTCTCCCCATCCAGGTGGGAGTTGGGCTGTCAGGTGTGGCTTTCATCCCCAGCCCAGAGCAGGGACAGTGTTAGATGAATGAGAATTTATTGTTGAGTTTAGAACATGTCAAAGTAGACTTTGGAAGAATATAACAAAGTATCTTTAAAATGCAATCTTAAAAAGAAAAACCAGGATCTTAGATCTTCAAGCCTTATTTTTATCATGTCCATTAAAAATTACAAGCATACCCCATGCCCAGACGGGATTCCCCCCACCACCCCCAAACTCCGTCATACTTCAAGATGCCCCTGGCTGAGGCCAAACACTCCATCACCCTAGGACCAACAAGAACGGACAGTTCTCGAGCCCAGACGTGGGGAAGATCCCTCCTCCCCACAACTCTCTGGGGGGCCACGGAAACCAGAATCCGGGATGGTAGGAGGAGCTACTTTAATACAGAAAACGGACAGGCTCTGCTCACATTTCACTGGCGTTGCTAATATGCCGTCACCTGAGCGCACTGCCCCTTGAGGAGGAGCTGACCACCAACCCTGACCAGGCAGCCCTGTCCTTCCCACCTGACCTACTCCAGGCTCCAAGCGGAGCACGAGGGTGAAACCAATATAATATTTATATAAAACTATATTTCGGTTTTTAAGAATCCTTAAAACAACGAAGAAACAGGGCGCTCTGAGAATGCCTCTCCCACCCAGAGAAACCAGCCTGAGATTGGAGGGCCCACACTCCACCACCTGACCTCTGCCTGGAAGCTCAACTGCCCAGAGACCACCAATCATGGTCTCCAGGGCTCTGCAGCATCCCCGCGAGGGACATCCACCAGGCGCGCTGCAGGGCACCGATCTCCGGGACAGGGGCAGAGAAGTCCCTACCCTTTCCGACCCCTCATCCTTGACTGGAGCCTCTCAAGCTGCTCTTTGGAAAATCAGGATCTGTTGCGTGTACAGGTGCCCAGAGACCCGCATCAGTCCTTAGCAAGGGCGTGGGCCGCGGCCGCCCTGCTCAGCCCCTCCCGGCCCTGCCGCGACCCAGACCCCGCCCACCGGGGGGACTAGCTCTCTGGGACCAATGAAGAGCGAAGGAGAGGGACCCACCGCCCCGCCCCGCCCGCGCTTAGCTGGCAGTACAGCGCAGAGCGGGAAGGGACGGAGCGTGCTGTCCAAACAGCCAATCGGCGAGGGTCCGAGCAGCGTTGCGGCGGGGCGGGGCGGGGCGGGGCAGGCCGGGGCCTGTCAGTGGCGAGAATGGCGGCGGCGGCGGCAACAAGCGGGCCTGGCCAGCGGCGCGTGGGCTTCGTGGGCGCCGGCCGCATGGCGGAAGCCATCGCGCAGGGCCTCATCCGAGCAGGTGGGACGCGGCGCGCGTGGGCCACGAGGCGTCTCCGGGTCCGGGGGCTAGTGGGCTTCTCAGATCGGCCTGCTGTGCGAGGAACCAGCTTACCTACCGCAGTTCACCTGCCCCGAGGAATGAATCTCGAGAGTCCCTGGGCGAGGAGCGAGGGAAGCAAAGGTCCCCTGCAGTGGCGTCCCCTGGGTGGAACAGGGCCTGGCGGGACTCTGCTTCCCTGAGAGCACAGTAGAACTGGCATCTGCTGGGGAAGCTTAGAGCCGGCTGTCCCGCGTGGCCGTGAGCCAGCTGTGGCCTTAGAGCACTGGACACATGGCTGCCCCGAACTGAGATAAGCTATGAGTCTATAGAATAAAAGATAGATAGGCAAGATTTGGAAGATTGGCTATATTGTGTTAAATAAAATGTATGACAATTAACTTCACCTGTTTTGCTTACTTGTTTAATGTGACTGCTAGAAAATGTAAACTTACATATATGGCTAGATTTAATTTCCCTTGGACAGCGCTAGGGCAGAGCCTCCTGTCACTGTCCTGGTCTCCTGCCTTGGTCCCATTACCTGACCCCTCAGAGCCTCTGACCTTTTTTCTGTTTGTATGCCAGCTCCACTCCTGGTGGCCCTTTGCAGAATTTCTCGACCTCTGAACTGTAGACATATGGACATCCCTCACATTATCGGGGTGTTTAGCCACTTCCCTGGCCTCTTCCCACTAGATGTCAGTAACACCCCAAGTTGTGACAGCCAAAAATTTCTCCAGGGGGCACAAAGTCATTTCCAGTTGATAGAAACACTGGTTTACAGTTTAGAATCATAATACTGTCCTAATCCTACTCCACAGTGTTTAGGAGCCTGCATGTGTAGATTATGGGTTGGCTCTCAGCCACATGTCAAGCTGCACAGGGTCAAAATCATCAGAAAATAATTTACTGCAAGTCTCATGTGTTTTACTGGAAAACCTGAGAGTGTTGCCTGCCTCCCAGGGCTGTCAGATTTAGTGTGGAGTATAGTGCTGGTAATAACGTAGGTGCACACAAGTGGCCATACTACCATGATTGATCGCCTCTGTGTTCAGGTTGTGGGGTGCTCTTTGGCCTTCTTATGAGACCTTACAGAAATCTGATCTCCCCAGCCCTGCAGCCCCCAAACACAGGTGATGTCTACCACATGGGCACTTAGCCTCCACTTGGATGTCCCAGCACAGAAGCACACCCCTCCAAGGGAAGCTTGGCCCCCACTGGGCCTCCCTGCCCATCATGCCCCTGCCCAGGCTTCCTGTCCTTGGAGGCAGAGGCTCCTGGGATTTGTGTCCTCAGGAGATGAGACAAGCCCCCAGTCAGTGTCCAGCAGGGCCTCTGACTCAGCAGCAGCAGCAGCAGGCAGGTGGTGGTGACTGCCAAGCAAAACCGAATGGTTCTGATTGTCTGTTCCTGGCTACCCATGCACCCCTGCTGAGCGCTTGAGTTCTTACAGAGACAGTCAAGGGCCAGAATAGCCCAGGTGTGGCTGAGCCCGAGAGACCCTTCAGTAATGGGAAGGCCAGGCTGCCTCCTCCCACCTTGCTTCTTCACTGCTACACCCCTGCCTTTGCCTTTCTTTCCAGGAAAAGTGGAAGCTCAGCACGTGCTGGCCAGTGCGCCAACTGACAGGAACCTCTGCCACTTCCAGGTGAGTCGGAGTCCAGGTCTTCTGAGTTGAGACTTCCCCCCAGGAGCCTGGGGTAGCTCTTGGCTCCTGTCCCTCTGAAACACTTCGTGAGGTCAGGGAAGTACTGCTTATTTAGCTAAAGTTTTGAGACTGGCTGGGATGAAGAGAGGGGAGGTCAAAGTCTGGAAGGAAAACCAAGGTTGTGGAGAGCCAGGACAAAGTAAAGGGGTGCACGTGAGTGTGTGTGTGAGTATGAGCATGCACGCAGAAGTATGCATGTGTGCGCATGTACATGTTTGCATGAAAGTGCATGCAAGTGGGCACATGTACACGTGTGTGTGTTGGGATGGTTGTGGGCACTCACTTGGGTGGGAGGGCTGGTGGAGGTACTGATATCAGGGCGGATCTGTGAGGCACAGTTGGGTCCTGAACAAAAACTGGTGGTCTGGGTACGTCTTGAGCCTTGGGAGTTGGGGTGGTACAGTCATTTACAATGGGAAAGACCCAAGGAACCCATGGGAATACAGGGCGGCCTCCAGCAGGAAGGGCCATAATCTGGGCCTGTCCCACTTACCCCAGTCCTGGTCCTGGGGTTCTGGTGCAGGCTCTGGGCTGCCAGACTACCCACTCCAACCAGGAGGTGCTGCGGAGATGCTCACTTATCTTCTTTGCCACCAAGCCCCACATCCTGCCAGCTGTCCTGGCAGAGGTGGCCCCTGTGGTCACCACTGAGCACATCTTGGTGTCCGTGGCTGCTGGGGTCTCTCTGAGCACTCTGGAGGAGGTGAGTGACCCATGAGGTGAGGTGGGGGCTGAGGCTTTGACCCAGAGTAGCCCTTGCTGGCCAGATTCAGCTTCTTACCGCTTGCTGTCCCAGACTCGCTCCAGCCTGGGCTTAACCCTTCAGGAAGCCAGGATGGGTGGAGCATGTAGCAGGAAGCTGGCAGACGTGGCCAAGGGGTTAGGGTTCCTCCTGGCACCACACCTGGGAAACAAGGGAGCCTGCCACTGGCTGAGGCATGTGCCTGCCCGGGCTGAGCCCCCAGGCTCCCTGATTCCAGTCTCTCTCTGGCCAGCTGCTGCCCCCAGCCACACAGGTGCTGCGGCTCTCACCCAACCTGCCCTGTGTGGTCCAGGAGGGGGCCATGGTGATGGCTCGGGGCCGCCATGCCGGGAGCAGTGAGGCCAAGCTCCTGCAGACCCTGCTGGAGGCCTGCGGGCAGTGCGAGGAGGTACCTGAAGCCTATGTAGACATCCACACCGGCATCAGTGGCAGCGGTGTGGCATTTGTGAGTGTCTCATTCCCTTCAGCTCCCTGACCCGAGGCCAGCCCTTGAGAGAGCAGGGCCTTCCCAGGTCCCTGCAAAGGCTTTCACCCTTAAGACTCAATGGCTGCTCCCTGGGCTGCCTGTGATCTCTGCTCTCCCCCACGTCATTGCCTTCCTGGGCCTTTGAGGCCTAGGAGTGCTCCAGTTAGGCCCTGGGCCCTGCACTGGTGGCCGGCACACTGGACCATGTTCCTGAAGGTTCTGGACCTTCTCCAGACTGGGAACTATGTCCAGGAGAGTGTTGGTTTTGACTCCCACTGCCCCCCAATGCCACAGGTATGTGCCTTCTCTGAGGCCCTGGCCGAAGGTGCTGTCAAGATGGGCATGCCCTGTGGCCTGGCCCACCGGATTGCTGCCCAGACCCTGCTAGTGAGTGTGGGCAGCCCCAGGGGAGCATGTGAAATGGGACAGGCCAGTATGCATCCAGGAGCAGTGGGGAGAGAGACATCAGGTCCAAGGAACCTGGGCTGAGGTCAGGAAGTACGTGATGAGGCAGGCTACACAGTGGGGCTGAGCTGGAGGAGGGACTGCCTGCGCCTCCAAGTCACCAGCCCCCAATGCCCTTCTCCCCAGGGGACAGCCAAGATGCTGCTGCAAAAGGGCCAGCACCCAGCTCAGCTGCGGACAGATGTGTGCACACCAGGGGGCACTACCATCTATGGGCTCCATGCCCTGGAGCAGGGCGGGCTGCGGGCAGCCACCATGAGCGCGGTGGAAGCCGCCACCTGCCGGGCCAAGGAGCTCAGCAGGAAGTAGGGGGTAGGCACTGCACAGGGCCACAGCCCAGTCCCCCACCCCAGTCCCTCCCTCTCTGGCCCCTTCCAAGGACTATGGTCCTCTCCAAACTGCAGGAGCCTCCAGAGCTTCCCAGGAAATCAGACAGGACAGGACTGGAGGGCTTTGCAGGCAGGGGGTATCCTCCCCAGGGGGAACTACCCCCACGTCCCTGTGGGGAAGAAGGCACTGTGGTGGTGGCCCTCCGTAAGGGGTGGTCTGGAACCTGAAGCTCCAGGTGCTGGCACTGCTGGTCAGGTACCCCGTGTGGTCAGCCAGCTGCGGGGGGCAGAGGCAGAGACCCTCTCAGCAAAGCCAGTGGTGTCATGCCACCACATCTGTCCTGTCTGTGGGTTGGCCAGCCTCAGGGTGGGGTTACCCCAGGGAGCTGGGCTCTGATTCTAACAGCCAGTGGGAAGAGAGGGGGACTGGGTGCTGCCTCCCTGGCTGAGGAGGAGCTGATCCAGGTCCCCCACCGGGAGCCCTCACGAGCAGGGTGCTGGGCAGGCCTGCCGCTGCTCCAGTCAGCAGGCTGGTGGAAGAGCTGCCCGAGGTCTGGGAGGATGGGCCCTGGCCACTGGGGAGCAGAGACCTGGCTTTAGCTGAGTATGGGCCCCTCCCCTGGCCCCTAGCTGCCCTGATGACAGCTTTGGGTCAGGAGTCCTCAAGTGTCACCACCTCTGTCTGCAGATCTTGGTTCTTGGTCATGTCCCTGAACAGACCACCAGGCCAGGAAAGCCGGGAACATTGGGCCTGAAGCAAGGCCTTGAAGCCTTTGGTAGGGGGCAGGCTGCCTGCAGCTCTGGGCACTCCGGGGCCTCCCCACCCCACACAGGCCTGAGTGCTAGAGCTCCCCTCACTTCCACCTGGTGGCCTCCTGAGACTATGCATGGGTGGAGGGGGCTGGTGCCCCTGCTGTGCTGCCGGTGGGCTCGCAGACTCAGCGAATTCACCTGCCATTGCCTGGACAGCTCAGCACATGCACACGGCAGGGCTGCTCCTGAGCAGCCCTGCTCTCTCCATCCGCAGCCTCCCACCCAGGCTGCACTCACCCGCAGCCCCTCACCCTCCCCTCCCCAACCCACCCAGCCCTGAAGTTCATGCCTCCCACCCCAACCTGGTTCCAACCCTCATAGACTGGCTAGCTTTTCTGCTTGTTACAAGGGTCAATCTGAGTCCAGTTCCACACCTGCTTTATCTGTGAAATGGGAATAAAGATGCTGTCCTGTAGCATGGAGTGGGCTATATTTAATTGGAGACTGAGAAAACCAAATATCAAGTGCCTGGAAGTGCATCTCAGCCAAGGCCCAGGTCATGGGATCAGACAGACCTGGTAGCTGGTGGGGTAGAGGCTTTCTGTCCTGGCTGTATATTGTCACCTGAGCACCTGCACCAAGGGTAGGGTGGCCACCTTCTGCACCCTGACCTCACTCTCAGCAGAATCCCTGGGGACTGGGGCGGGCTCTGCTTAAGGGCAGAGACAGCTCTGCCCAGCCCCACCCCAGGCAGGCCACTGCACTGTTCAAATGAGGTGCCTTGGTGAGCCCCCAACCTCACTGGAGGGGCAGCCTGGCCCAGATGGTGATGGCCTGGCCCATGAAGGGCAACTTTGGGAGGGCAGGGTCACAGCCTAGTCATTGGATGGCCATGGCCTCCCTTATAATTATGTCCACAGGCTATAATTACTTTCTCAAGAAACTGGTGGATATAACAATGGCATCTTCTTTTGTCAATGTTGCTCCAATTTTACACCCTCCCCACCCCACTTCCAAATTATATGAGATGTTCTAGATCCAAGCATTTGGATTGAGAGAGAGAACAGTTAAGGCATTATGACAGATACATATGAAGTTGACACACTGAACCTTTATTATAAAGTAGACCGGACTTGTCTGACCAGGTAAATTTCTACCATCACCAAGTTTGGGTGTGAAAGGATCCCTCAACAGGGCATGCACCCCAAAAGCCCAGAGCCCTCTCAAGGACGAGCCAGGGGAGTCAGCCCCACCCACTGGCACCCTTAGCCTGAAGCCAAACTGCCCACCCTCCAGGCTCCCCACAGCAATCCTGACCTGCACTCAGGCCAACAGGCTGGAGGTTCTCAAGGGTGCGCCCCCTCCTCTCACACCATGCTGATGACATCTAGGGAGTCACTTGCCAAGCGGGCAGCCCCCTTAAGCAAGGCTGTCTGCTCAAACAGGCCCTCTCTGTTGCAGCCTGGCCTCATTTAGCAGAAGCCTGTGGGCTCAGTCATCTTATCCCCATGCACCCATCCCCTGGTCCACTGCCAAGCCCACCGCTGAGCTGTAACAATGACCCAGACCCAGGGTCACTTTCTGGAAGAGCAGTGGCCTTCACTGCCTTGAGTATTTGGTCAAAGGGCTGTGAACAGGAAAGGGAGAGGTGGGCAACTGTGTCCCTGAGCACCTCTCAGGGTGCAGGGGTCCCCATACCCTTGCAGGGAATGTGTGATTCTGAAGAACAAGAAACCCTGTTTCTGGCATGGCACCCGGCACTCAGCAGGCAGACAAGGCTATTGTAGAAATTCCAGCAGCATCAACTGACACCCCTCCCCAGTGACATCCACTTCACTCTCCTGTTCCTACTAATATGACAAACCAAGTGCCTCAAATGCCCACGGGCCCCGCGGAGAACAGCACTGAGGCACAGGCTGCTGGGTGAAGCCACCCAGGGTCCACTCCAGCCATTCTCCTGGGGACAGACGCCGGGGCCACCCTCCCTGTGATTTCTCATGGACTTGAGCCAGGGAGGAGAGTGACTGTGAGCCAGAAGAGGCAGGCAAGAGGCCCTGCTCCTGACACTGCCCAGGCCCACGGGGGAAGAGAGATGGAAAGGCAAGATGGGTACCTTGGCAAGAGGGGGCCACTACCAGAGGCCACCCTGGGCTATGTTGAGCCCCACATGCACCCTCGCTTGATGCCCAGCTGGGCCCTGAGGTCTGCCTCCCCACACACCCCTGCAGGCAGGCCTGGCAGAGCAGAGGCCCAGTGGGCTGGCCACAACCAGGATCTCCCAGCTCTGAGGCTCTGGGTTGCCTTCAGCTGGAGGCCAATGGTGTGCCATGCAAGACTTCATGAAGCCCCCGAGACCAACAGCCAACCTGTCTTCCTGAGGCTCCTCTAAGGACGCAGGCTTAATACAGCCAGAAGTGAATCTCAGACTGACCCCTGTCCCCGGCAAGCGAAGCCTAGCTTCCTCTAGATCTCATGTTCCACACCTTCCCGCAGCTTTCAGAGTTGAGATTTTATTGCCTAGGTGCGGTTCCAAGGAACAACTTCTGTTCTTGGACTTACACGGAGATTGCTCTGGGGACTCCCTCCGGCTGCCTCCCTGCGGCACACAGCCGCTCCCTCCCACCCCACACACCCATGTGCAACCTCTGTAGTTCAGACCGCCAGGAGCACACGGAACAGGAGAGGACCAGGGTAGAGGCCAGCAGTGCCTCAAACCCATCCCTGAGCCCCTCGCAAGGGCTCCGGGCAGCATCTCTCCAAAGGAAGCCTCTGGGAGGAACGGGCATCTCTTGGTCTCAGACCACCAGTAAGATTCTGAATCTAGGGCTGGATGAAGCAGCAGAACCATGTAAAAGCTGGACAGTAACACAGGGGCCATTTCCTCCCTCTTTCAAACTGTGCCCCCCACCCTGAAGCCTGACTCCTGGGCCATGGGAAGGGGCGCCTCAGCCACACCCTTGGCAGTGCCAGGAGAGACAAGGAAGCCTTGGGGGGGGCACTAAGGCACAGTGGGATTGTCCTGGCACAGCTGTCAGTGCTGTGGGCCTGCTCCCAGGTGGTGGGATGGCTCCAGGCCCCCCGGCTGGACAAAGTGGGCTGGTGGTGGAGGGGTGCAGGAGCTTGTCCAGTCATTGGTGAAGTCACCAAAGACCAAGTCTGGCCACTCGCCAGCCCTACTAAATAAGAGAGCTGTTAAGAATGGAAATTTCTTAAGGAAAATCAAAAACCCAAGCTGAACAGAAATCTAGTTCCCCGCTACATCCGGAAGGTCCTCAGGGTTACTGGGTACCACCTTCCTTCCCAGCCCACAGAGGCATCCTCTGAGACCAGCCGCAGGCTGAGGACGGAGACACCAACCTGGCCCCCCTGAAAACTACCTGTAAAATCGAACTTCAGGAGAATGGTGTGATCGCACAGCTGTGGCCCAGGAACCAGGAAGCACCAGAGCTCCATGCAGACAGGAGGGCTGGGCCCTTGTCCAGTGCAAGGGATGGGCCGCTGTGGGGAGGGCAGGAGGCGCAGGCAGGCCTGGGGCTGGAGGTTTCAGCCCCACAGGGGCCAGGGTCGGAACAACCAGTTGCTCTCTGAGAAGTGCAGTGGCATGTACTTGATAGGCTAGCATGGGAGGGGACACTGGCTAAGACCACAGACCACACGTGTGTGCTTGCCCAGGGAGGAGCATGAGACCCTCTTCCAGCTTTCCTCCCAGGAGACTGAGGGGTCATGGTGCAGCATGACCCTTCACCAACATAGCCCCTCCAAGCAGACTGGGCCAGGATCCCTGCAACCCTGAGCCACGGGGTGGGCCACCACTGGGGAGGAAAGGACAGGAGATGGGAAGACTATGTCCCTTCCCTCCAAGTGCAGCAACAGAAAGGCCACTAGGGGGCCACTCGGGCTGGCTTGGTCACACTCCATCGTCAGGGACTGCCGGAGAAGGCCCGATGCCCCCCAGCCTCCGGGCCATGCTGATCAGCGAGCGCAGCTGCACCAGCTTCAGCGGCCCCACCTCGCGGGGGTCCTGGCTCTCCAGCCACTGCAGAGCCGTCTCCAGACCCCGAACAGCCTCCCCAGCGGTGGGCACAGCGGCCTCCTCCTCTCTGCCCCCCATGACAGAGGACAGGCTGGCTGGGGATGGAGGGGCCAGAGCAGGGGGCCGGCCCAGGCCTGCCTCCTCTCTGAAGCCTATGGGCAGCCCCCCATCATCGTCCAGGTGCAGCCACTCGGCCACCTCCTCGGGTGCTAGGCGCTTGTAGGCCAGGGCTGCCAGGTGTGTGAGGTCGCTAAGCACCCTGCTGTGCTCCGCAGCCTCCTCCGCCTGGCCTGCCGGCTGCCCAGCACACTCCTCCGCTGGCCGGGGCTCAAAGGCTGCCCGTAAGCCCAGCAGCCAGCAGCGCTCAATGCTGCCAGCCTGCACCAGGTCCCAGGAAAGGCCAGCCAGGTAGAGCATGTCCTTGAGCATGAAGCTGCGCATGAAGTCCAGCGGGGAACCTCCAGCGCAGGACACAGCAAGCCGCAGCAGCTCCCGCTTGTATAGCTGCTTGAAGGCAGCCACCACTCCCTGTTCCAACGGGGCTGGGATGTGCGCCCTGCTGCTGCCCTTGGACAGGAACAGCACCCGCACGGCCCCGTCGGGGGTCTGCAGTTCCTCCGGAGGGCCGAGGGGCTCAGGCCGGCACCGCCTGGGGGTTTCCTCGCTCTCCTCCAGGGCGGGCACCCTGGTGGCTGGGCTCGGGCAGGGCGGGTGGGCCACCAGCAGTACAGCCTTCTGCTGCAGGCAGCTGCGGCGCAGGTAGCGTCTGACACCGGGGACGAATTCCTCGAAGAACCAGCCCCGCAGCAACGGGCGGCTGAGCCAGGCGTCCGGGCTGTAGCGGTATGAGGCTGGAAACTTGTCCTGGTTGTGGTGGCGCAGACTGGGCGGGTCTGGCAGCTGCCCGATGACCAGCGGCTTCAGCTTGTGGCTGCCGGTCAGGTTAGCAGCTAGCAGCACAGTCACCCGGTCGCCCCGCCAGCGTCGGGCACAGTCCCCAGCGCTGGGGTCCCCTGCGCCTGGTGGCGCGGCCTGCTCCGGAAGAAGCTTCCAGTAGAGGCCGGTGACGTTAGCGTTGTAGATCTGCTCGTCGCCGTAGCCGCCCTCAGCGGGCGGCGGGGGAACCGAGGCCCGGTCGGGGAGGAGGCCGGAGCCGGGAGGCAGCGCGGGCTCCTGCTTGACCGGCGGACCAGGCGCGGGGCCCGCGGCCGCTGGCTCGGCTTCGCCGTAGATGCGCTGACTGGAGATGCCGTGGCGCTTCTGCCAGCGCCAGAACCAGCCGTGGCTGGCCTTGAAGGTGCACTCGGGCCCGTAGATCTGGCGTGCGAAGGCCTCGGCCTGCGCCTGGATGAGCGGCCCCGACAGCGGCACGCCGTGCTGGCGAAGCGCCAGGAACCATGAGTAGACGGCGCGGTCAATCTCCTCCTCGTTAGCCAGCCGCATTTTCTTGCGCTGTGTGCCCACCTCGCCGCCCAGCTGCTCCAGGAACCAGCGCAGTTTGGGCTCGTCTTTGAGCCAGCCGCGCAGCGTGCCGCCGGGCACTCCGAAGTCGCGGCACACGCTGGCTTGCCGCTCGCCACCCTTGACGCGCTCTATGGCCTGCAACTTGTCCTTGATGGAGTAGGCCTTTCGGAAAGCCATCTTCACGGCCACGCGGGGCCGCGGCCCGGGCGCGGGGGGCGGCGGTCGCGCGCCGGGGGCTTGGGCGGATGCAGGGGGCCGCGGCGGCTGTGCAGGGCGCCCGGGCGGGGGACGCCGGCCGCGGTGCGGAGTCGAGCCTGCCGCGGGACCCGCGGGGTACATGGCAGCAGCAGGGGCGCGGGGGCCACACGCCGGCCCGGCCGGCCGCGCGGGGCGGGGCGCTGGGGGCGGGGCCGGCCGCGGCCCACCCCTTTGTCTCGCCAGCTCGGCGGCGCAGGCGCGCCGGCCCCGCCCCGCGCCGCGCGTCACCAGGCGCGTCCGGCCTCCAGCCCCGTCCCGGCGGACGAGCCCACTGCTCGGAGAGCTGGGGGCGGGAGCGCTGCGGTCCTTTTCCCGGATGGAAGCTCCGTCTGCCCTGGGAGAGAGCGAGCCCCGCGGTGGTCGCCCACTGCCTCGGTGTCTGCAGGGCGGGAGAGTCGCGCGGAGGGCGCCGCCCGCGAGGCGGAGCGTGCGCGCGAGCCGCCTCTCCCGAGGCCGGCCCCGAAGCGCGTGGTAGAGCCCGCGGCTTCATTTCCCGTGCGCGGCCGGCGCTGCCCTCCCTTTCCGCAGCTTCCTGTGCCGCGGGGTGTGCCCTCTGTTGCCCCGTCCTTGGCTGGCGTGTGAGTACCGCGCCCCGCGCCGGAAAGCGCCGCACGCACCGCGGAGGCGCTGGCAGGAACCGGGGAGCTAGCGTCGCCGGCGTGCCGGCCCAGGGCGGTGGGCTAGCGCAGCTTTCCCGGCGGGCGCGGAGGGCCGTGCCCGCGGGGCCACGTGGCTGCTGGACGCGGTGGCCCGAGCCCGCAGCCTTTGAGTTGTCTCGTGCGCATTTATTAAGCAGCCCCGGCACGCTGGTTCCGGGCGTGCGGGGCATGCGCGGGCCTGACGCGGGTGGAACCTTGACCCAACCTCATGAGCGCGGGAAATAATACGCGATTCCTGAGTTTATCCAAAGCGCACATGTTCTCTGAGAGCGACCCGGTCTTGACTTGGATAAGGTGGTTTGGGCAGGGGGTGACGTCGAAGCCAGTCTCCGAAGAGGGAAAGCTGACGCCTTCGCGAGTGGGCTAAGTGCGAGCAAGTAGGGAAAGGCTCGTGCGGGAGCCATGGGGGCGGGGCGGGGCCTGATGGAGGCTGTGCGCCGGGGTTTCCAGAATGAAGGGCATCCTGGAGAAAGAGGACTGTTGTGTGGTTAAACTTTGGGGAGGTCCCCTCCTGTCGACGGAGTGCCTCTTGAATTGGCACGTAACTGAGTGGTCTTGGCTTGTGGCAGAAAATGACGCTTTCTCTTACCTGAGGAGGCTCCCACAGGAGCAGCTCTAGCACCCCGACCTTTGAGGGTGGTGAGCTGGTAAGTGGATTGGTTCAGATGCAGTTCCGTCATTCCTCAGCCCTCCTGTACCGCCTCTGCAGGGTAATGTTCTGGGCCCCGTGCCCAGCCTGAAGGGCGCTCTCCAGGCTGGCCTCCATTTCCTCACCTTGGAGTGGGGGTGCTGTGGGGTTCCCGGGAGCCCAAGCAGAGTGAGCGCTCATCCACTGGATGGGCAGGGGATGACTGCCACCTGGAGGATCCCGGTGTGGGGCCAGCCCCCGTGGCTTTGCTTCTGGGGGCCTGGATGAGGCTGAAGGGTTAAGCACTGGTTGGCAAGCATGCTTGACCAGTGTTTTTGTGAGTGAAGGTTTCTTGAAGTTGATTTTTAAGAGATCGACTAGAAGTGTACCTCTAGTACATGGTGCTGTGGTGTCAGTTTTCCAGGGGCTGCAGGCGTGAAGTGCTGGTGTGGGCATTTGTTAGGCCCTGGCTCTGTGCCCATAACTTAAGATGACATGTTTGGAGTGAATGGCAGTGCAACATTGACTCAAACACAGGCATTGGAACAAGATGTGGATCCCCAGCTCCTCCACTCACTGCCTCAGAGGTTTAGATCCAGCACTTGTCTGCCAGCTGCATGTGAGGCCTGGAGACACAGGTGTCCTGTGTGCATGGAAGGGTTGAAGTGTGTGCCAGAGTGGAGTCGTCCTGAGGAAGTGGAGCGCAGAGGCCAGGCTGGTCAGGTGAGACGAGGGCATGATGGGCTAAGGCAGAAATAGAACTGATGTGACTGTGGTGTTTCAGGCATGAATGCTGTTGTAGCTGGCTGGGCCTGCCCTGCAGCGACTTGAGCCGCCACAGTGTGGTGCAGAGGCCCGCCCCCTTCCTACCAGCAGGACAGTTTGGTTTGTCTGAGTGGGGGTTGAGTATCCAGAAATCAATGTAGGAAAGCATCTGAGTAGGAATTTGGAGGCCATGGAGTTCATCCACCCTCCCTCCCTGCCAAGAAAGGCTGTGGATGTCAACCCCGTGCACAAGTACCCATCTGCAGTGGTGCTGTCCAGTGTAGCGGCCCTGCTACATGGCCTTTCTCGTTGACTGACACATTCCCAGTGCTTGGCTCTGCAGATACAGAAAACTCAATTGCGCAGCACTGGTCTGGGCATTGCTGGCCAGGGGGCTGCAGACCCTGTCCCACACTCTCATCCCACCTTCCTGTGAAAGGTGGGCAGAAATGTTTGACCCCTGGGTGGACACTCCAGGAGCACCTCCATGTGTATGACTGCAGCAGGGTGATGTGAGCACAGCCCGGGGAGGGGTCGAGGCCTTCCCCTTCACCCAGGCTCACAAAGACGTGGTCCCCCAGCATCTTTGTGGGCACAGCTCTGCCCGGCCGTGCCCTCATCTTCCTTCGGGGCCTTCTAGCAAGGAGCGTCCTGGGGGGTCTGTTGCCAGGTTCCCTGTGCTTGTACCATACCACAAGAAATGCCCTCCCTGTGGCCCACAAAGGGCTGCATGTGCTTTGGAGACCGTCATCTGCTTACCACCAGTGCTGACTGCCAGGCGCTGGCCTGGGAGAGTCACAGAGGGGCCTGGCTCACAGGAACCACCTCTGCACATCAGCTGCCTTTACTACAAATGCCGGTAGCTGGGCAGTGGGGTTCCTCTGGGGCTACCCCAACTCTGGATGGGTGGCTGGATGGGGCAGTGTCTGCCTTTGTGGGAGAGCTCTCCATGTGCTTGATGGACTAGGTCTGGGTCCTAGTGACGGGCAGCTCAGCTTCTCACCCTGCAGGTCTGCAGTTGCTGGCAGCTGGTTGGTTCACTTCCAGGAGTGGAGGGTGGGGACCCCTGAGGTCCCCCCTTCCTTCTGGGTTGCTCTGCTGTTTGTGAGCTTGCCTGTCTGTGCTGTGCTGTTACTGGCTAGCTACCACTGCCTCCTGGAAAAGCCACTGGAGAAGGTCTGACTGTCCTGTAGTAGTGTGAGCTCCTTCCTGGACAGCTGTAGGCGTGCATGTTTGTGTCCTCAAAGGGAAGAGTCCAGACTCAAACTTGCTTTTCTATTAGAAGAGACAGGCTTTAATCTGTTAGGTCCACATGAAACGGGAGTGCTCAGGGAGGAGAGAACAGAGGAAACAGGTGGGCTCTGGAGTCTGAGATACAGAGGGGGTGGGGAGTGGCTGAACGGGAGGCCCAGCTGCAGTGCAGAGGAGCACCCTGCCACTTGGTCCTCCTGTGTCCCTGAGGATGCTGGCCTCCACCCCCATGCTCACCTCACACTAGGTCACTCCAGCACCCTCAGCACCTGTGGCCAGCCTCACCAGGTGATGCTTTGTTGGCAGGAGCAGCTCACTGCCCGATCTGCGGAGAGCCCTCCGCTGCTCCCGTGACCCCCCGAGCTTTGCTGCCAGCAGCAGGTGATGGGTGTTGCTCTGTCCGGGAGCCTGCCCAGTACCTTCTGTGTGCACTCCAGGCAGCTGCCTCCCCTTGGTCCTTGTGTCTTCCCTGTGGCAGAGCACCTGTGTGTCCCATCCATCAGTGACTTGATGCTGACACTCTAGTGTTTGCTGCCCTATGGGGTGGATGGGGACAGTAGGGGCCTTGGTGGCATGGCTCCCATTGGAAAAGAAAGATGGACCCCCCCCCCAGGGCTCTGGTCTTTGAGCAGCTGGGGGAGCCCCCAGGACTGGGCAGAACGGATGGGTTCTTTCAGCCAGGCATGGCTGAGTCTGCATGTGGCTTCCTCAGCTTCCGGGTTGCTGCCTCTGTGTGTTTGGGGCCAGGTACCTAGTGTCTCCGGCCTGTATCCCCCACCTGTGCACCTGGAAAGACGGTATGCTTGCGAGCCCTTCTGTGCAAGCCTGCTGAGGGAGGCCCTGTCCCAGTGTGGGCACTGACACTTCGTGACTGCTGAGGCTCCCGGACTGGTGCTTGTCACCCGGTGTCCATCCGGCAGCCTGGACAGGGCAGGGACCCCCTCCACAGCTCCAGGTGGACAGTGGCGTGCTTGGGGTGCTGGCTCAGCTCGACCCTGGTTGCTTCAGCTTGAGTGAGGAGCAGACTGGGTGCCGCCAGTGGGAACCCCAGGAACTGCTGGCTTCACGGGACAGTGGAGCCCTGCTGCTTGGAGCGGGTGGACGCCACCACCTCCTGGGGTTTTGGTGGTGGGTCTGTCTGGTGCCCACCTCCTGTTTCCTCTACCAAACTTGCTTCTCTCCTTGCCACGTCCCCAAGCAGCTCCTGGAAAGGCCCTCCAGCCTTCTCGGGCCATTCGGTCTGACTGCTTCTAACTCTGCTACTTTCTTTTAATGCTCTCCTAGGAGATCAGAGTGAAAGTAAGTACCCTCTGCCCCCGGGGTTCCCTTCACCTGAGCTACCTGAGCTAGAGCCCCCCCGGTCCCACTGTTATGCTGCCTGAGGAGTTCTGGTCCCGTCAGGTGGGACTGTCTTGCTGCTGCCCCAGGCTGAGCCCCTCCTGCCTCTGTGATGAGGTGGGCACCTCCTGAGCAGGTCAGGATTGGAGATTGGAGTGCCAGCTTCCCACCTGTGGGCAGGGTATGGAGCTGTGGCCCTCAAAGCCCTGAGCAGAGTCTGGTCTGATGTCAGGAGCCAAGGATAGCATTGAGGCCAGTAGGGTCTAGCATGGCTTCAGGACCCAGGGGGCCAGCCTGGCAGGTGAGTTTGAAGAGGCTGGACCAACCCAGACTGAGCTGCTCTGATGAGGGTCCGCCAGGGGCTTGGGTCCAGAGGCCGGACGTCAGACAGGCTGCAGCCCTCCCAGGGACAGTGGGTGATGTCACAATGCCCTGCGTCCTGGACACACCTGCTGATCTCCCACCACTGCCTCTGCTGTCAGCCTGGCCTTGGAAAAGGCTGTCACCAGCCTGGGAGGAAGGCTCGAGCGGGGAGCCCAAGGACCTCTCTGAGCTTGGGGCTTCTCTTCCTCGGCCCCAGCTCCTCACTGGGACATCATAAGAGGCCTGTGGCCTGTGCTGTTAGAGAACCCCAGCATGCCCCTTCAGTGTGCAAGGAGGAGTCGCCCAAACTCCTAGGTGGTATGGGGTTCAGGTAGCCGACACTTCCCACAGGGTGGCGGAACCAGGTTTATGTTTTGTTCAGGGTGTTAGGACAGAGACAGATCCCCCAGCAAGGGGAGGGCAGGGTTTGCCTTCCAGGCTGAAAGAATGCCTTCTCTCTAGAGACCTCGTCTCCTGGGGGTGAGAGCCTGGCCAGTGGCGCCCCCTGCGCTGGAGGATCTGCTTCATTTAGGGTCCAGCGAACAACCCCATAGCAGCAGGGGTTGTTGGGGTCGGTCCCGAGGGAAAGCCTCTCGACTCAGGCAAGTTATCTTCCGAGTGGAGGAGTATCTCCAACACTTCTGTTACGGGGAGCAGTGTCCAGAGTCGGGTTTGTGGCTGAGAATCCCTGTGCTGATCACAGCCACCCCTCTCGACCAGAACAGCCAGGTGAGCTAGGGGACCCCAGGTATATCCTGAGAGCAGACCGGCCCCAGGAATTTCTGGGCCTAGTGGGCCGCAGTGACCCAAACCCCTTAGTTCTTACTGAGTTGGGGGCTGCCCTAGCGTTCTGGGCTGGCTAGCAGAGTGGGGGCCTCTGTGCCAGCAGCAGGATTGGGACTTGGCATGGAGCAAGGCCATTGCTCAGTGGGCAGCGGATGACTAAGCTGGAAGGAACACCACCTTCAGTGAGAAGGCAGGGCTCGTTCACTGGCCACAGGAGCAGTTGGGGTGAAGCACTTCCCACCTGCCCCCACCATCCTGGTGATGGTGCTCCCAAAGGCATGGGCTGACTGCCTCCTGGTCAGCAGACAGCTGCAGCTGGCCAGGGAGCTGGTTCTGACTCCCTGCCTGAGCCGCTGGGCTCCTTCCTTTCAAGGCGAGTACCAGCGTCCTCCCTGGTATTTCCCTTGGTGTGGCCTTGCAGGGCTGGGGCACCCCACACTGTGCTCCTAGCTGTCCTTTCTCTAAGGTCCTGGGTAGCTCCCCTTGGGTCGCGTGCTGCTCTGGATGGTGGGGTGGCTGTGGTGGGTGTGGGTGACTCGGACAGCCAAGCACATGTCTGTTAAACAGAAGCACAGTGACTTGGGAGGTGGCCAGACTTACCAAAACATGGGATGTGCACTTCAGACTTCAGATGGGTGACCAGTAACTTCTCAGTATTTGTCAAGATTTTCATGGGACATACTTATCCTGAAAATCATTTGTTTTGTGAAAGTCAGAGTAGCTGAATGCTTCCTGTGTTTCACCTGGCAGCCTTCCTTGGGGGCTCTGCGAGGAGAGGGTTCTTTGGCCCAAGAATGGTTGGAACACGTGTACACATGCAGCTGTGTGTTACTTGTTTACTACTTAACTGGATGTGACTCTGGTCTTGGCGTGTCACTTCTCAGCACCCCCAGCGGGACATGTCCCCAGGCACCGCCAGTCAGGCTGAGGGGGGTGGGGGCATCATCCCCGTGGGACCCACTGTGTTGCAACTCCCTTCTTGTGCTTGCTTTTTAACGCTGCGCGGAAGATGAGGAGCGGGCAGGCCTCCTGTGCCCTGGAGACCGTCTGGGAGGACAAGCGCAAGTATGGGGAGGCGGAGCGGCGCTTCTACGAGCAGGAAGCCACGCGAGCCGCTGCCACCCAGCAGCTCCTGGCTGAGGCACCAGCCATGAATGGGCCAGGTCAAGAGGACACCGAGGACACTGAGGAGGCAGAAGGCTCTGACAGCAGCAGTAGGAACGACGAGGGGAAGAAGCCAGCGCAGAAGAGAAAGCACTCCCCGAAGAGCCGGCTCTGCCAGGCGGACCTGGCCCTTGTGGGCCTCTCGGCCGACCATGTCTGGCTGGACAAGCCATTCTTCGACCAGGCGGAGAGCTCCTACCACCAGAGGCTGGCAGACACGGCTGCCAGGGCAGCCCGGCCGCTTGCCTTAGCCCCCTGGGGTCCCTGCGCCCATGGAACCCAGGTGGCCTGCCACCACGTGACCTGGGGCATCTGGGTCAACAAGTCTTCCTTTGACCAGGCCGAGCAGGCATTTGTGGAGTGGTCCCAAGCTCTGCTGCTGGCTGCAGAGGGGCACAGCAGGCAGAGGTCTACAGACACAGGCCCACTGGTGGCTGCTCCCAACCTGGCCCTCGTCTGTCAGCCCAGCCCACCGGCCAGTGGCCAGCCCCTGCTGAGCAGCCTACAGGCGCTGGTGCAGGAAGTATGGCTGGAGAAACCCCGGTACGATGCTGCTGAGAGGGGCTTCTATGAGGCCCTGTTTGACGGCCATCCCCCTGGGAAGGTGCGCGTGCAGGAGCGAGCCAGCCAGGCTGAGGGTGCCAGGCGGGGCCGCAGAGACCGGCGGGGCCGCAACACCATGGGAAGCAAGCGAACTGGGCCTCGGCGTGCCGACGGGGAGGCCCCCTCTGCCCAGCCCTACTGGTACTTCCTGCACAAGGACGCTGAGGCCCCCTGGCTCAGCAAGCCCACCTACGATGGAGCAGAGTGCCGCCACCAGGCTGCTGAGGCCCTGCGCATAGCCTGGCACCTTGAGGCTGCATCCGTGGCTCACCGGCCTGGTGCCCGGTCTGGCCCATCCATGTCCAGCCTGAGACCCAAGTAGGAGAAAGATGCTGAGTGGGTGTTCTGCCTGGGCCTCCCCAGGCTGGGGCCCCGCGTGCCCTCTCCCCCTCCCCCTGCCCACAGGGCTCTCCCGAGACTCCTGAACCCAGCTGAGTCAGATGCAGGAGTCATTTGGCAGGGGTCTCTGTCTGTCCCTGGGATAATACAGCCTCCAGGGTCACCCCTGGAGGTCACCAGGATCCAGGGTGTTGGGGGAGGGAGGGGTCAGCCCAGGGCTGAATCAGACTTCCTCAAGGTTTCCCTTTTGGCTGGGCAGCTCCCTGAGTCCCCTCTGTCACAGGTCAGGGCAAGGGGTGTGGTGAAGGCTCCTGGCCCCTGAGCCCAATGGGGCAAGATACAGTGGTCCCCTGCCTGTCCTTCCTGTCCTCCCACCCCCGTCCCTTGTCCGTGTCCACTCCTGAGGTGAGGTGGGTGTCTCAGTGCACCAGCACACTGGCCGTCAGGGACGCAAGTCTGAAGGATTCTGCGGGGTGAGGCTGACCTGCCTTCAGCCCGGGGACACACTGCCACACCAGCTGTGATCTCTGAAGGTCAGGAGCTGGGGGCAGGCCAGGGCCAGTGGGCCTGAGAGAAGGCGAAGCGCAGCAGCAGGGGCTGGGGTGCAGCTCGCAGGGCCGTGAAGCGGCCTGCAGACCTGGCTCCCTGGCTCCCTACCTGGGCCTGGATTCTGGTGGGAGCCCTTCAGCTCCTTGGTGGGGTTGGATTTGCTGGTTTGACAGGATCTGGGCCTTGGTGTGAGCGGCAGGGCTGGGACCGCATTATGGCAGCGGTGTCTCTGTTGGGGCGGGCAGTGGACCTGAAGCTGCTCACGATGGCTTCTCATACAGGGTGGCGGTCATGGGGCCTAAAAGCTCTTGTCACCGAGGGGACGCTTGGTGAGGTCCATTCGAGGCTGGGGCCCTCAGCACAGGATCGGGTCTGATTCTGCTGCATTGGGTGAGAAGTGGGTGGGGCACGGGGCAGGCGTCATGTCCGCAGGTCTGGGCGGCCCCTCTTCCTGTGGTGGGCCATTGTGACAGGTTTGCAAAAATAGCTGGCGTGCAGGCTGTAGTTTGCCAGCCCCTGGTGTAGAGCAGCAGCTCTCAAACTTACTGGTCTCAGGACCCGCTGCGCTTTCATTGTTTCTCAGCTTTAACCACGTTAGCAGTTCAAACAAGTGCTGAAAGCACATACTTCTCTACTGAAAACCAATAATGAGCTTTTACAAGTTAATGTTAATAACGCTGAGGGCAAACAAGCATAACTGTGAGAAATAGTTCACCTGTGATGGAAAGTTCCACAAGCAAGATGGCCTCATCTTACATTTTTGTGTATCTTTGCTGTTGGCCTGCCTGGGGGCCACTGTGGTGTCACTGCTCTGGCCCATTTGCCAGTGTGTGTCATCTGAGTGCCAAAAACTCAGCTCTGCATGGGGGTGTGATTGGAGGGGGGTCTTGCAGAGGTTCCTGGCTAGTTTCGAGAGCTGCTGGTCTCAGGGACACACCTGGGGACTGTCGCATGAGCACTGAAGGAAGTCCTGTGTGGGGAGCAAGGGATGACATGGGGGTCTTACAGGCTGGTGCCGTTCCCTGCTGAGAACCACTGGTGCTCTGCCCTGGACTGGAGCTCTTGTAGCTCAAGGATGGCAACAGCCTCCCTGCACCCTTCACATCTGGGCTAGTGGAAGGGGCACTGTGCAGACCAAGCCTGGAGCCTGCAGGGAGGCACCTTCCCCTCCCGGCCAGGCCACCTGAGCACTCCTCCTTCTCCCAGCAGGAAAATGGCCACAAACTTCCTAGTGCACGAGAAGATCTGGTTTGACAAATTCAAATATGATGATGCAGAAAGAAAATTCTACGAACAGATGAACGGACCTGTGGCTGGCACCTTGTGCCAGGTAGGGGCTGCACTTGAGGCCACTGAGTGGCTCTGCCAGTCCCAGGAAGCAGGGGACATGGTTGGCACGAGTGGCCCTGTACCAGGGGCTGGTGGTGGTAGCTCTGGGGGTGGTGGCCTTGGCTGGCTCTGCTCTTGTCCAGCACAGGACAGCGCACTTTGCTGTGTCTGTCTCCCAGGTGGCAGAGACGGCATGCACACAGGCGCCAATCCCGCCAGTGCCTAGGCTGGGCCTGCAGACAGCACACCCCAGGCCCTATTGCCGTAGCTGCAGGCCTCTGGCACCTTCTGCTTGCTGCTGTCCCGCTGAGTTTTCATTCTGCAGATGCTTGCTTACTTTTATTATTATTAAAGTTTTGTAATGAAAAAAAAAAAAGACTGTTTCTTTCTGCACTGTCAGCAGGAGAATGGCGCCAGTGTGATCCTCCGTGACATTGCAAGAGCCAGAGAAAACATCCAGAAATCCCTGGCCGGAGTGAGTATCCACAGCCCGTGTACCTGAGGGCTCGTGCTGCTGTCCCTGTGCCTGACGGCCTGTGACTTTTCCCCAGTTCTGCTGATGATTTTGACCCTATGGAGCAAAGTTAGGAGGAGGTGTGCAGTGCAATACTCTGCTTGGACATGGCCTGGACCCAGGGCACCACTGGAGACGTCTGACTCTTGCATCCTGCTATGCTTCCTACCTGCTTGCTGGCAGTCACCAGGGTCTCCCTCTTGCCCTTATCCTGGGCTGACACTGTCATCCTCCAGGGTGATACTCCTGCTCAGCAAAGCAAGTGTGTGATAGGCTGCTATCTGCTGTGCCTATTGCCAGGCCTCACCCTCCCCAGAGAGGTGGGGTTACAGGGCATGTTGACTTCAAACCATGGAATGAGCACTGTCTTGAATTTGAAGCCCAGAGAGGGGCCCTGCAGCCAACTTGGCCTCTTGGTCTCAGGTGAGATCAAGAGAGGAGAACAGGGCCATGTCCAGCTCTGTCCTGGGCCTGGCTTGGGAAGGATGTTGCCCAGAGGTGACAGACCTGCTGCTCTGCCTTCCTAGCCAGGGCAGTCGGGACCTCATTCTCCCTCTGGGAGGCAGGGTGGTAGACATGTTGTGGACAGAGCTGCTGGTTCTGGAGACTGGAAGAGGATCCATTCCCGTGCCTGCCCCATCGGCGAGGTGCACACATGCCTCATCATGTGGCTTCTGGCTAGCAGTGTCATTTCCTTCTCTGTCCTGCCACTCTGTGGACCCTGGGGCAACAGTGGGCACCTGGGGGATTCAAGGTCATCTCCCCTCTCCAGACCCTCAGCTTCATCACATCTGCAAAGGCCTTTGCCACGAGAGGTCCTTTTTCAGAGGCTCTGGGGATGTGTGTGGGCACGTCTGGAAGCCTGCTGCATGCCACAGCTGGTTTGGGAGTACTAGTTCCTGGGCCAGAGGTGGGCAGCCCTGGCGGCGTCCCCCAGAGGTGTGCATCTGCTGTCCGCCCAGCAGGCCTTGCTCTCCACTCGGCCTCCACTTTAACCTGAATCTGCGTTGCCCTCTACCATCACTAAACCCACCTGCCACCTCTGCCTGCCCAACCAAGTTTGACATAGGATTGAGGTGGCATGGGGTCTTTGTATCCAGGCCAGGCATCTGGGCTCCTGCCCCGGGGGCTCTCGTCTGGTCCTCGGGATCCTGGCTCTGCTGAGGTTGGCACCTGCGGCCTGGTCCGGCAAAAGCATGTAGGTGTGCTGCTGGGGCTTGGGGACAAGTCTGTTCAGACTACCATAACAAAGTGCCACAGCCCAGGAGCTTTAACAACAAATTAATTTTCTCCCAGTCTGGAGGTTGGAAGTCCAACATCAGGTATGGGCAGAGTTGTTTCTGAGGCTTCTCTCCTTTGGCCATTTTCTTTTTGTGTGTTTATATCATCCTCCCTCTGTCCAGGTCTAAATTTCCTCTTACAGGGATACCTGGTATTGGATTTGGACCACTCTGACTTTATCATAACTGGGTTACCACGTAAAGGTCCATTCTCCAAATAAGCTCACCTCCTGAGATGCTGGTGCTTAGTGGACCCAGTGGTCCCTGGGAAACGTGTGGTGCCAGGCACAGGGTTGGAGGTGGGCATAGAGGGTTCTGGATTCTAAACTCTGATGTAGGGCACTGCCCTGAAGCCACCACTGTCAATGGCTGTTACTGGACCTGCCTCACTGAGTCTGGAGTTCAGGGCCCAGAGTTCCCTGGCTTCTTCCTTCCTTGCCTGGGTCACAGTGGTCCAGGTGGAGGGGTCTAGGGCAGCCCCAGGACACAGACTTCATGGAAGGGACTGGTGGTGCGTAGGACCCCTAGCTCCCGGGTCTCCCCACTTCCTCTTGGCCTCATAGTGGGTGGGGACTTGATGGGAGCCTGCACTCTTGGGATCTGTCAACTAGCAGTCCTTACTCAGTATTGTCACCAGGTCTACAACGGGAGGTTCTTGGGACTGGGGCCAACACTCCAGGCAACAGACACAGCAGGGAAAAAGAATTGAGGTGCCAGCCTGCTGGCTGCTGCCAGAACATGGTTCATGTGCTTAGCAAGCACTGAGCCCTGGGGTGTGGGTAGGGGGAGTCTGTTGGGGAGCCTGCTGAGATTGGGGCCAGCCTGCTCCAGGAGCTGGGCATTGGGCTGGAAGGGAGGCCATGTGCCAGGTGCTTGCGGCCAGAACTCGGGGGAGTGTGGTTTGGGGGCCCTCTGGGGACGGTGAATCCAGCACAGCTGTCAGTGTGTTGGATGGTGCCACGATTCCCTGCCCATAGCAGGAGGCTGCAGGGCAGGTTGGAGGTGGGCAGCATGCAGAGCTGAGTGGTATGAGCAGCCCATTCTGGTACTAGCTAGTCTGGGCTCTTCCCCAGTCATACAGCCTACGAGACCCATCATGGGAGCTGGTGGGCTGTGGGAAATGTCAGCCTTGTGAACAGATCACCCATCACTCCATGGGTGCCTGCCAGCCTGTCCTCTGGGAACTTCAGTTTGTTTGTGATCTGGGGGTGTGCACAGCAGGGGAGGAGGCCACATGGTTTATCCTGTGACTGTTTGGCAGGTGGGCCCCAGGCCTAAGGTCTGCTGCAGGAGTGGACACGAGCCCTCAGGAAGGAGACAGGTGCACTGTCCTCAGAGTTGTTCCATTGAGGCATGGCTATGCTGAGTGACCTCGTGTGCATGTGGCCTGAGGGGTGTCTTGGGCAACCCTGGTGAGCTCCCTGGGCAGCACCTCTTGGGACAGATGACAGGGGCTCCTGGTCAGGGAGGCCTTTGAGGGCAAGCTTGGTGAGCCCGGCAGCAGGGGACCAGCCCAGGGTAGGCAGGGCTCAGTGTAGGCTGCCGTGGAGCTGCTCTCCCTGCACAGGCATGCGCCTTCCTCCTGCCTCCACTGCGTCTCTGAGGCCCCAGGTCAGGCTGCCCCAGAGACCGTGAGTCCTCTTTGTCCCACCCCACGGGGCAGTGGCAGCCATGGCTCTGAGCTTAAACCTGTCTCTGAGTTGGGGTTGCCCTGGGCCCTCTGCCTTTTGTCCTGGGATTTCTGCTTTGCTGAAAATGAGACTTCATAAGCTTCCTTCCCTTCACCTGGGTGGGACATGGCAGGTAGACCCAGTAGTGTTGAAGGGAGCTGTGGCCTGGTGTCTGGTAGGTGTCCCACCCTGCTCAGGGCACTGCTTTGAGTGGCTGTGAGTGGGGGACTAGGAATCCTCACGCTGGCCCTCCCTTGCAGAGCTCAGGCCCTGGGGCCTCCAGTGGGCCTGGTGGGGATCCCAGTGAGCTTGTCCTCCGGATTGCCAGCCTGGAAGCAGAGAACCAGAGCCTGCAAGGAGGTGAGGCCCCAGTGAATGGTTTGGGGCCCCATTGCAGCCCCTGCTGTGTGACCGGCATTCCTTTGCTCCCAACAGTGGTGCAGGACCTGCAGCAGGCTGTCTCCAGGCTGGAGGCCCGGCTGAGTGCGCTGGAAAAGAGCTCACCTGCCCACAGGGCCACAGCCCCCCAGACCCAGGTGAGCGTCCCAGACCCAGGGATGCCCCATCCCATGTGGGCTGCTCACACAGCAGGGAGGGGCCTGCCGACCACGGTGTGCAGCTGGGGCCGGGCTGTGTGGGCCTCAGTCTCCTTTTCCCCATGGCAGCATGTGTCTCCCATGCGCCAAGTGGAGCCCCCCACCAAGAGGGCAGCCACCGCTGCAGAGGACGACGAGGGCGATGACATCGACCTGTTCGGCAGTGATGAAGAGGAGGACAAGGAGGCTGCCCGGCTGCGGGAGGAACGGCTGAGGCAGTACGCGGAGAGGAAGGCCAAGAAGCCTGCACTGGTGGCCAAGTCTTCTATCCTGCTGGACGTCAAGCCCGTGAGCGGCTCACCTCTGACCCTGTCCTGCTTTGCCATCGTGATGGGATGGGAGCTGAGCTGAAAAATTGGGGGCAGGGAAGGGGAACGTGGGTGGGGCAAGTGATATGCGCACTTTTCTCGGGGCCCTGTGCTGGTGGGGGCGGGGGCAGGGCTCCCCTGGTGTTGGCAAGCTCCTGACCCCAGCCTTTCCCACCTTGTCCCCCAGTGGGATGATGAGACAGACATGGCCCAGCTGGAGGCCTGTGTGCGCTCTGTCCAGCTGGATGGGCTGACCTGGGGGGGCTCCAAGCTGGTGCCCGTGGGCTACGGCATCCACAAGCTGCAGATCCAGTGTGTGGTGGAGGACAACAAGGTGGGGACAGACCTGCTAGAAGAGGAGATCAACAAGTTTGAGAAACATGTGAGTCCCTGAGTGACCTGTGGCCAGGCAGGGGTTAGGAGTGGGGTCCCTGGGGAAAGGACACTGTTTGACTGCTGGCTTCACTCCCCTCAGGTGCAGAGTGTCGACATCGCTGCTTTCAACAAGATCTAAGCTGTGGTGCCTGCACGTGATATTAAAGATGTGATGTTCCGGCTCTCTGGCTCCTGTCTTGGTCTGGGCCCCGTGGGTGGGTGGGTGTTCAGTGGGCTGCACTCTGCCAGGCCCCAGGGCTCTGATTTGGCCTGCATCTCTTGAGTCCCACCTGGGCCATCTGTCTGTCCTGTTTATCTACCAGTGCTCCCAGGGACTACCACCATCCTCTCCTATTTTGGTCTCTCCACAACCTCACCCCTCGGTCTGCCCCATCTGTTGTCCACCCTCCCGTCCTCACTCACCCCTCATTTGCAAATACCACATCCGGGTCAAGCTGTTGAAGCTGGAAACAGTGTTCACTGTAGGGACTACTGGTCCTCTGCCTCCAGACCACTCCCTCCGGGCTCCATTTCCAACCAGGCTGTCTTGCTGCCGTGAGTGCAGTCATGGCCCCCCAACTCTGACAATCCCTAGAAGGCAGCTCTGAGGCCACTCAGGACCCCAGCCCTCCCCATTAACCTTCACCACAGTCATGCGCCACCCACCACCCACCCACCCACTGGAGCCCTGGGCCCTGAATAAACTGCCCTGTGGTGTCCTGCTACTGTCCTGTCACCTCTCCCCCATCACGGCTGGTAAGCAGCTGTTCTCAGCATCTAGGCAAAAGGATGTGGGCTTCGGTTTAGGGTCAGCGCTGGTGTCCTCCAGGGCTCCAGGCCACACGGGAGTGGGTTGTCCCCTCAGTGCCAGCTACAGGCTACCCTCCTTGCAGGACTCCTGTGGGCCCAAGGCTCAGGACCCGAAAGCCTGGGCATCGGTGGGCAGGTCCTGCCCGCTGCCCCTCCTCAGGCCTGGGCTGGTCCCTGGGTGCGGCAAGGGCAAAGTCCAGCTGGACGTGGCCCTGGACCTGCACCGTCCCCGCCTGGGCAGCCGCCCGCCCTTTCGAGCTCCCGGGAAGGCGGCCCCGCCCCGCCCTCGCGCGGCCCCTGGGAGCGCGAGTCACGTGGCCGGGCGGGCCGAGTCCGGCTGCGGCGACATGGCTGCAGAGCAGGACCCTGAGGCCCGCGCGGCCGCGCGGCCGCTCCTCACCGACCTCTACCAGGCCACCATGGCGCTGGGCTACTGGCGCGCGGGGCGCGCGTGCGACGAGGCCGAGTTTGAGCTTTTCTTCCGCCGCTGCCCTTTCGGTGGCGCCTTCGCACTGGCGGCGGGGCTGCGCGACTGTGTGCGCTTCCTGCGCTCCTTCCGCCTGCAGGACGCAGGTAGCCCCCGTCCCAGGGAGCCCTCCCCGCCGGGAGCCCCTGGACAGGGCCCTCCCGCCCGACGAGGGCCCCCCTTCCCTCCGCTCTGGGTGGGGTTCCCGGGGTTCCCCAGGGCCCCGCCGCTGGACCCAGCCCACCAGGGCCTTTGTCGTCCCCCAGACGTGCAGTTCCTGGCTTCGGTGCTGCCCGCAGACACGGACCCTGCGTTCTTTGAGCACCTTCGTGCCCTCGACTGTTCTGGGGTGACAGTGCGGGCCCTGCCCGAGGGCTCCTTGGCCTTTCCTGGCGTGAGTGCTGCTGAATGGGTGGAGGGGCGCCCAGTGGGGCCTGGTGGTGCCGAACTGACAGCCCTCCCCGCAGGTGCCCCTGCTGCAGGTGTCGGGACCCCTGCTGGTTGTGCAGCTGCTGGAGACACCGCTGCTGTGCCTGGTCGGCTATGCCAGGTGGGCCAGAGGCCTGGCTGCCCTGGGGTGGGGCTTCCTGCTCCCATCTGGAGGATTGTCCAGCAGCGCCAGGCTTCTGACCCTGAACCCAGATTCCTCTCCGTCCCACAGCCTCATTGCCACGAATGCAGCACGTCTTCGCCTGATTGCAGGACCGGAGAAGCGGCTGCTGGAGATGGGGCTGCGACGCGCTCAGGGTCCAGACGGGGGTCTCACAGCCTCCACCTACAGCTACCTGGGTGGTGAGGACCAGAGAGGGAGGCAGGGGTGGGGAAGGAGGAGGCACACCCAGAGAGTCCCCCACTGCCTGAAGTCCCCCAACCCTGCCTGATGCCCTGGCCCAGGCTTTGATGGCACCAGCAACGTGCTTGCAGGACAGCTGCGGGGTGTGCCCGTGGCCGGAACCCTGGCGCATTCCTTCATCACCTCCTTTTCCGGCACCGAGGTGCCCCCGGACCCGGTCAGTACTTCCTCTGCCTGGCTGCACTACACAGGGCAGGATCCAAGGACAGTCCTTGCTCTAGGCGTGGGGCAGGATAGTCTCTGCTCTGCACACAGGCCCCCTGGTGCTCTGTTGGGAAGCTTGCAGGCGGGTGGCATTCCTCCTGCCCAAACCTGGGACTGGGCTTGACCCAGTCCCCCATCTGCACTCCGGGCCCCCCACTCTTCACAAATCCCTCCCCACAGATGTTGGCTCTGCCTGCCAGGCAGGGCTCCAGCGTGGACCTGGCCACCCGTGTGGAGGCATGGCTGGAGCGTGTGTGCGCCCACCTGGGGCTGGAGGTGCAGGAGCCACACCCGGGCGAGCGGGCTGCTTTTGTGGCCTATGCTCTGGCCTTTCCCCAGGCCTTCCAGGGCCTGCTGGACACCTACAGTGTGCGGAGGTGAGGGCCTGGCATCCCCAGGGTGAGCTCGGCAGAGCAGCTGCAGCCCCCCAATCCTCTGTCCCTGTCCATAGGAGTGGTCTTCCCAACTTCCTGGCAGTAGCCCTGGCCCTGGAGGAGCTGGGCTACCAGGCGGTTGGTGTGAGGCTGGACAGCGGTGACCTGCTTCAGCAGGCCCAGGAGATTCGTATGGCCTTCCGGACCTTTGCAGCGCAGTGAGCCCCTGGAGAGGCTGTGCCTTCTGAGACCCCCTCAGGGCATGGGGAGGAAGGGATTCTGGTCTGGTTTCCACCTCAGTAGAGACCTGGTGGGCCCAGCGAGGGTTCTGGGCTCACCCAGGGGCTTGTAAGCCAAGGGCAGAGCTGGCATACCCAAAGGCAGGTTCTCAGGCGTGGGGTGGGGAGAGGGATGACATGACGGAAGAGGATGGGAGACAGGTGGGCAGGAGCATCTGAGGGGCTTCCCCCCTCCCAGGTTCCAGGTGCCTTGGCTGGCGTCTGTCCCCATCGCTGTCAGCAACAACATTGGCGAGGAAGAGCTGGCACAGCTTGCCCAGGAGGTGGGGTGGGGCAGGGAAAGGCCGTAGGGTGGCTAGGAGGGCCTGAACCTGCAGACCCTGGCTGAGCTCAGGGCCACCTGCCCTCCCTCCAGCAGGGCAGTGAGGTGAACCTCATCGGCATTGGCACCAGCGTGGTCACCTGCCCCCGCCAGCCTTCCCTGGGCTGCGTCTACAAGGTAGAAATGGTCTCAGGCCCAGTGGGGGTGGGCAGGGAACCACTGGTTGCAGAAAGGTCTGGCGACCCATACCCATCTCTGCAGTTGGTGTCCGTGGGAGGCCAGCCCCGGATGAAACTGACGGAGGACCCTGAGAAGCAGACCCTGCCAGGAAGCAAGGCTGCCTTCCGGCTCTGGGACGCTGATGGTGAGGCCCCCCACCCCCTGGCCCCCTGGGTCCCCCAGGCCCATCACATTAATCTTGGCACCACCCGACACACACAGGGTCTCTGCTGTTCGATGTGCTTCAGTTGGCAGAGGAGCCCCCACCCCAGGCTGGCCAGGAGCTGAGGGTCTGGCCGAGAGGGGCCAGGGAGTCCTGCACTGTGAGGCCGGCCTATGTGGAGCCCTTGCTGCGACTCTGGGTCCAGCAGGGACAGGTGACAGCCCCACCCACCCCCCCTCAGGCTGCAGCTTCAACCCCAAAGGAGCTCTGATCCCTGCCCTCTCCTCCCCTCTTCCCTCCAGCTGTGTGAGCCTCTCCCATCTCTGGCCGAATCTAGAGCCTTCGCCCAGCTGTCCCTGAGCCGCCTCAGCCTTGCACACAGGCGGCTAGTGCAGCCCGCCCAGTACCAGGTGGGTGGAGGGCCTACGTCCTCAACCTGTACAATGTGTCCTCTGCCCCCAAAGCCACCCATCATCCTCTCCTGTCCTCCCGGCAGGTCGTGCTGTCTGAGAAGCTGCAGGCCTTGGTGGACAGATTGAGTGCCGGAGGCCGCCCCTGAAGACCCCATGCTGGGGGCTGCCTGAAACTAACACAAGCCACCCACTGTACCCCACAACTTGTCCTGTGTTGTTTCTTCCCCTAGCCTTCCACTGCCTCGACCCCCAGGGCTTCCAGGGTGGGCTGGAGTCTGGAGAGGGAGTTCGTGCTCTGACGGGTGGGGGTCGTATCCAAGCCCCTGTGCTGAGGTCTGAGAGTGGAGAGCAAGGCCAGGGCCGTGACGCCAGGGCTGTGGGGAGGCAGGGGCCCGTCTGAGGCTGGAGAAAGCAGGGTTACCTGGAAGGGTGTTGTGGTGCCGACTGGGAGTTGAGAGAACTACTGCTGTAGACTCGGGAGGGGAATGTGGGGTGCGGACAAGGTTTTGGGGGTTTCCCTTGTCAGAGCCTGGCCCCTGGCATCCCTGCTTGCCAAGGGCCCTGCCCCTCGGCTCAGGGTTACTGGGACACTTCCAGCTTCCCAAGCCAAGGAGAATCCTGTCCCCTGCAACTGGGGACCCTGCCCCTGGGTTCTGCCCATCTGGCTCCTTCCAGGTCCTGGCTTCTGTCACAGGGTCAGCCAGGTCCAGGCTGTGGGGGACCTGGTTTCTGACCCAGCAGTCCTGGGAATGGATAAGAGGAGGTGAGGGATGAGGTGGTGGCTCAGCTCTGGGCACCTGACTGGTGCTCCTGGGCTTGCCCTGCTGTGTGCAGGCAAGCTGGTCACTTCTCTGCTGGCTGTGGCAACTTGGGCTCCAGAGGAATTGCTCAGGAGAGAGATTCTGGCTCCACAGGATGAAGAGGTCAGGGCTTGGGCCTCTCCTGTCCAGGAAGTGCAAAGTGACAGGAAGGCAAGAGTACCTGGAGTTCTTCCGGGCACTGCCGCCTTCCCAGGCATTTGGCCAGACTGGCTTTTCTGGCCCTGCAGGCTCGGGATAGGTAGTGTGCCGTGCCACTCTGTGAGGATGAGGGCCCGTGGGGCAGAGAGGCCTGGCCAGGCCAGTCCTGGGAAACATGAGGCTTGGAGACACACACACACGCACAGCCAGTCCTGGGAAACATGAGGCTTGGAGACACACACACACACACACACACACACACACGGCTCCAGGCACCCATGTCACCACTTTTCCTGAGGTACCAGGACATAGGAACCCTGTGGCCTAGTGTTGAGGGGAGAAGCACCTCAGAATAGCTAGGACCCAGAAAGCCAACCCCAATAATGGCCGTCACTTGCAAGATTGCTGGGGAGGTGGTAGGGGCCCCACTTTTGCCTCAGCTCCACCCCAGACTGCCTGAGCTCAGAGGTGGTGAGTCTTCCAGTAACCCCACCCCCAGATGTCTGGCTGGGTTTTGGAATGCGATGAGGACAACCCAGTCCCAGCCCCAACCCAATTGCTCTTTTAGGGCTGAATCAGGCAAGGCTTCAGTTCAGCTCGGGGCTGGGCCAGATTTTTGGACCCCACTGAGTCCTCTTCAGGGCTGTCCACACCTGCCTGGGGTCTCCCTACCCAGAGGGATTGGAGGTCAGGATCAAGGGCTTTTCTGCTCCTCCCTCTGCATGTCTGCTGTCACCCAGGTGGTTTCCCCTGTCCCAGGGCCTGGGTGGGCAGAACAGTCAGTAGATGCTTGCACTTCAGGCTAGCTGCTCTGCCAGCACCCTGGGCAGGAGAGCCCTTCACAAGCCCAGCAGGCACCACGCCTGGAGACACCTCCAGGTGCTCTCCACCCCCCACCCCACCCCCACGCACAGAGCACGCACACATACCACCACACCCATCCCTGGATCTGCTTCTAGGTCAGGCTTGGGTGCCACTTCCCCAGAGGAACTGTGGCAGGTTCTAGAGGCTGGGCAGAGCACCTGGCGTGTGCGACCATGGCTGGAGGCATGTGGGGCCAGAGCCAGGCCCAGAGGGTCCCTGTAGGGGCCCTAACCCTGACAGCTCTGGCTGAAGGCATCCGATCCAGCCAGGGTGAACGTCTGGGACCCTATCCCATGGGCCTTCAGCCTGAGCCGGGGCTTGACTGTGAGGCAGACCCTGGGAGTGCAGCCGCCATCCTCAGAGCCAGTGATGAGCCCTGCTCCCTGCCAGCCCCAGAGGGGCCTCACCAGGTGAGCAGTGAGGAAAGGGTGGCCGAGGAGACCAGCCTAGGGGCAAGGGAGGGACTGAGGGAGCACTGGAGATTGGGAGAGCTGGAAGAGACAGGGGAACTTAATCCCTCACTCCTAGGCCCCCCAAAGCTCCTGGGAGGACGGGGCTCTTGCCGACCTGGCATTGTACACAGCTGACTGCCTGGAAGACACTGGTTTTGTGGGGACCCAGGCGACAGCACTCACCCTGTCTTCAACCCTGGAGGCCCGGGGGGAGTGGCTGGAGGACCAGGTCAGCCGCCATTCCTGCCTGCCCCCAGACCTCCTGCTGTCCCCTCCAAGGTTTGGGGGGGTTGGAGAAAGCCTGACACGTATGACCCTCTCGGTCTTCTCAGCCTGTACCTGCCCAGTGAGGGCACAGACGGTTAGGTACAGAGGCCGGGGAGGCCTGACTGCTGATGTCTACCCTCCATGCCAGGTGCACGCTCTTGTGCGAGGGCTGCTGGCACAGGTGCCCAGCCTGGCTGAGGGGAGGCCCCGGCGGGCAGCCCTGCGGGTGCTGAGTACACTGGCCCTGGAGCATGCGCGGGACGTGGTGGGTGCGCTGCTGCGGTACTCACTGCCCCAAGACCGGTAACCTGCCCCGCCCTGCTGGGTGCCCCAACCCCAAGGCCCCAAAGCAGCTTCCTTCCCCCTTCCTGCTTGGCAGAGGAGTCTGGCCTGGTGAGGCCTGTCAGGGAGGGGCCTCCAATCTCTCCCCAGTAGTCCTGCACCCCCAACACTCCCACTCTCCCACCTCAGGGTCCTCAGTGCTGGGTTCCTGGCTAGGGGCTCACCTGCTCTCTCCAGATCACCCCTGCAGCCCAGCCTGGGAGTGAGCTCCAAGGCAGGGCCAGCAGGTGAGGTGGCTTCCCACCCCAGGAGGAGTTATGTGTAGGTTATTCTCTGGTGATTGTTTATGATGCTAGGCTTGTTTAACTGTGTCTGGCCTGACAGTTCTGAGCAGTGTCCGCCACACAGCTGATATCCCACTGAGCTGGTCTGCTGTGATCTGCAGTTGCCATTTATTTTGTTTCTCTGGAATTAGGGGTGGGTGCAGGGTGGGGGACTCTTCCTCTGCTGAGGTCCTAGTGGCCACCTCCAACCTACATCTCAGCACCAGACCCTGCCTCACACACCCCATGCCCTTAGGGTGGTGGCTGACCTATGGCGCAGCCTGAGCCGGAACCAGCGTGTGAATGGGCAGGTACTGGTGCAGCTGCTGTGGGTGCTGAAGGGCGTGGCTGGGCCCCAGCTGGAGGCAATGGCGGTAGGTGGCTCCGGGTCAGCACAGTTAGGGGACTGCCCCCGCCCACAGGGGCCAAGAGGGCCAAGGGGGTGGGAGAGTCGGGCCATAGGGGGCGGGGCAGCAGGTTGTCAACCGAGCCACCCATCCCTGTCGACCCTCCACTGTCTGAGGCTTCATCCTCACCAGGCCTGCGGTCCACAGGAGCCTGAACTGGCCGCTTGTTCTGCAGGCCACTCGTGCTCTTGGGGAGATGTTGTCCGTGTCTGGCTGCGTGGGCGCTATACGGGGCTTCTACCCACACCTCCTGCTGGTGCTGGTCACACAGCTGCACCAGCTGGCCCGGGATGCATGCTGCCCGGACACCCCCAAGGTTTGGGCCCTGTCCCACCAAGGGCCACCACACAGCCGTGCCAGGTGAGGGGTGTACACTGGAGGAAGTGTGAGGGCGGGCCAATGCCCGCCTGGCCTTTTCAACCCACTCTCCTGCTGCCTCCACCCAGCTGCACCGTGGAGGCCTTGAAAGCCCTGCTCACCGGGGACGGCAGCCGCATGGTGGTCACGTGCATGGAGCAGGCTGGAGGCTGGAGGAAGCTGGCGGGAGCCCACACCCACCTGGAGGGTGTCCTGCTTTTGGCCAGGTGTGGGGCAGGGGGAGGCAAGACAGGCAGGGGCTGGAGGGTGGTCGGCGGAAGCTTCTGGAGGAGTGAGTTGATGGCGGAGGGTGAGTGCCCATCCCGCCCCATCCCAGTGCCTTGGTGGCCCATGCCGATCACCACCTGCGAGGCCTGTTCGCTGACCTCCTGCCCCAGCTGCGCTGCACAGATGACACTCAGCGCCTCACAGCTATGGCCTTCTTTACTGGGGTGAGCCCGCTTCTGGATGGGGGCATGGATGTGGCCCCTAAGCAGTCCCCATTGCCCCACCCCACCCCCACGCGATAAGACTGCAGACTGCGAGCATGCTGACCACGTGTCCTCGCTCAGCTGTTGCAGAGCCGACCCACGGCAGGGCTCCTACGGGAGGAGGTCATCCTGGAGCGGCTCCGCGCCTGGCAGAGCGACCCTGAGCCCGCAACGCGCTGGCTGGGCCTGCTGGGCCTGGGCCACATGGCGCTGAGCAGGAAGAAGGTGAGCGCGGGGCGGGGCGGGCCGGAGGCCTGCGAGGGGCCGCCCACGAGCCCCTGCCCCCGCAGGTGCGGCATAGGAGCACGTTGCTGCCCACACTCCTGGGCGCCCTGGGCGATGGTGACACGCGCCTCGTGAGTGCCGCACTGGGCGCCCTGCGGAGACTCCTGCTGCGGCCGCGGCCACCGGTGCGGCTCCTGACCGCGGAGCTGGGGCCCAGGCTCCTGCCGCTCCTGGACGACGTGAGCCCGCCCCGCCCCCGTCCCTCCCCAAATCGCGCCCGCCCCACAAGCCCCGCCCTGCGGCAGCCCAGGCTCTGGGCCCGAGCTCCGCCTGCCGAGCCCCGCTGCCGGCCCCCAGATCACGTCCCCCGAGAGCACTCCTCCTTGGACGTACCCCCGCGCCACCCTGACTGCATCCACCCACGCAGGCCAGGGACGCAGTGCGGGCCTCGGCGGTCGGGCTCCTCGGGACCCTGGTGCGACGAGGCTGCGGCGGGCTTCGGGTGGGGCTCCGCGGCCCTTTGCGGAAGCTGGTGCTGCAGAGTCTCGTGCCACTGCTCTTACGCCTGCACGACCCCAGCCAGGAAGCTGCTGAGGTCAGCCGCCTCCCAAGACCATGCCACCCCGTCCCCACCCAACTCCACGCATCCTAAGACTGCAGGTCCAAGGGCCTCCCCAAGGACCTCAGACGCAGGCATCATGGGCGCCCAGGTTCCTAGGCTTCCCTGAGCTACCCCCATGGGGCTCCTCCACTTTCTCTGGCCACACCCCAGCCACCTCTTGCCACTCTCTGGACCTCTAACCCTGCTCCCTTCTGCTGTCCCAGAGTTCAGAATGGACCCTGGCCCGCTGTGACCAGGCCCTGCGCTGGGGCCTGCTGGAGGAGATGGTCATGGTGGCTCACTATGACAGCCCTGAGGCTCTCAGCCGTATCTGCTGCTGCCTGGTCAGTGAGGGGTAGGATGGTGACAGTGATGGGCTGTGGTCACTGTCCACTTGGTCCGGTATTCACCAGGCCCACTGCCCCCCTCAGCTGAGTCTCCCCACCCTCCCAGCCAAAGTGGTAGTAGATCTAATGCCTCAGGCCCTGACATCCTGCCCTGGAGGGGTTCCCAGAGGCCCCAGCCCTGGGCTCACCTCTGCTGCTTCCTCTAAACATGGGTTTGGCCTTCCTGTCCTACCTTGAGCCCTTCTGTCCCCAGGTTCAGTGGTACCCAAGTCATGTGCCCAGCTTCCTAAGCCAGACCCAGGGCTACCTGCGGAGCCCACAGGACCCCCTTCGTCGGGCAGCTGCCATGCTCATAGGTGAGAAACACTGTCTCTCAAACCCAGAGCTCTGGAAGCAAAACCAGCCCTTCCTGCTGGGGGCATGGGGCTAGCACTCACAGGTTTGCCTGGGTCCAGGCTTCCTCGTCCATCACATGAGCCCCAGCCATGCCAACCAGGTTCTGCTGGACTCACTGCTTGAGGGTAAGGACTCTACTCACTGGTGCATGGGGTCCTGAAGAGGCAGTGGGAGCTAGGGTGGAGTGGGTGGGCATGGATGCATGGAGGGCCAGGGGCCAGGCACTTGGCCTTCCCGAGAACCCTCCCACCCTGAGCCGCCTTGTCCCCACAGACCTGGGGCAGCTGCAGAGTGACCTCCAGCCTGCTGTGGTTGCAGTAGCACAGGTGTCTGCCCAGCAGGTGGAGCTGGCAGCCTGCGAGCCGGCCAGCCCCCAGGGCCCCCGCCTTCCCTGCCTGGGCCAAGAGTGTACCTGCCCTGCCCGGCCCCCACCAGTCTACACTGACAGTCCCTTCCGGCCCCGAAGCCTCAAGTGTCGCTGGGACTGCTCTGGACCTGGCTGAGCCTGCCCTGTGTGTGCCCTCCAGGTTGGGGGCTGGGCCCAGCCCTGTGAGGGCAGGGGGCCTGAGTTGGGCACCCCACTGCTCTGTGGCCATCCTGGCAGAGGCAGATCTGCAGAAGAGTCTCCATGTGAGGGGCACCCTGGGCCTGGCACTCCATGCCAGGGCCACCCCCTAAAGCCATTTGCAGGACCTGGTGCACACAAAGACCCCCCTCCAGGAGCTTTACTGTCCCTAGGTGACGGCTGTGTACCTATGAGCTGGTGCTGTGATTGGCTGCCTACTTCCTGGGCTTCCCGTGGCAGCCTGGCCCAGGTTCCCCTGCCTACCAGGGCCCTCTTGACTTCCCCAGCAGCCCATCACTCCCCCACCCCATCCTGTTTCCCACTTCTCACTGGCCTGTGTCCTCTCTGCTCAGGAGGCATTGACCTGTCCTTCTGTCCACACCTGCCACCCCCTCAGCTTGGCACTGTTCTGTGCTCTCAGCTCCTGCCCATTGCTGGGCCCACCTGAGCCTTCTCCAGAAAGCATCCCCTGACCTCGCTGGCATACCACAGGCCTGGGATTATACCTGTGGGTTCTGGTGTGGGGTGCCGTCATGTGCACCCCCGCCAGACTGTGCTCTATTCAGGATTGAATGAGGTAGGCGAGACTGGCCATATAGGGAAGAACCCGCTGGAAACCTCAGAAGCCGTGACTGAGCCCCTGTAGGCCTTAATCAGGTTCCTCTACTTAGAATGTCTACCTTGAAATGTCTTCTTGCCCTTCAAGGGCCCCCCCACCAAAGCCGCCTACTCAGAGTGGCCTTGACTCACATAGCCTCTTGGTGGGCTGGGGGCAGCCCCCAGACCGGGGACCCCTTGGAGGCAGGCATGGGGTCCTAGTCACCCTAGGCTTAAAATATGGTTTAAGGTGCACACATGTGGATCAATGGGGTGTGGCATCTCTCTGACACCTGGGACCAGGCCAAGGATGCAGTTCTGATCGAGTCTAGTCAGCCTGTGGCCAGAAGGGTCAGCCTGGGGGTGAGGTTAGGAGTCAGGCAGACTCAGGGTTCAGGCTGTGGCCAAGGTCAGGCAGGGTTCACCCGGAGACAGAAGAGGCCAGTGCTGTGTCCCTCACACACTGAACAGGCGGAGCCTGGGGGTCCTGTCCCCCAGAAGCTGCCCTTGCCCCCGTGGCGCTGCTGCAGCCCTGCGTTTTGCTGAGCCTTTCCGGCCTGTGGGAGTTAGGGGGCGGGGGGTGAGGGACTGGGCCATCTGCCCCACCTGCAGAGAGCCCATCTGTGGAAACTTCCTGTCGGGGGGCTGTGAGCAGAGTGGCCTCCCTTTCTCTGCAAGGCCCTCCCGCCTTCATCTTGATACTCTCAAGGCACTGGTGGTCCTAGAACCCGAGGGCCAGTAGTCCCATCCACCAAATAGGGCTTGGGTAGGGCGGACCAGGGCCTGCCCGATCTCCTGGCCTCCAGGGTAGTGCCTCAGGCAGCAGAAGCTGCGCTGGCATTCTCGCTTGTTCGTTTCCTGAGACAGGGCCGCTCCAGACCCCTTCACCTTGGTTTCGCCCTTGAAGCCACCCTACCGAGGGTTCCCAAAGGAGGACTATGGGCCCTGGAGAAGACAGATAGCGATCTTCTTTCATCACTGTGCTGGTGGCGATTTCCAGGTGGGGTTCTGTAACCTGGATCTGGGATGTTTGGGGCACACTGTCTTCTGTTTTAGTGTTAATTTTACTGCTGGGCGTGGACCCTGCGTTTTCTTAGGGATTAATGTCCCAGCCTCAGCCGAGCTTACTATTCTTGCTCTTCTAAGAAAGTTCTAAAGCCGCACGCTAGTGGTGTGCCACGCTGAGGCCTGCAGCTTCCTCCACCAGCTGGCGGATGGGAGACCACAGCTGCTACCAAGAAAAGGCAAATTTCTCCTGGCTGTTCAAGCTCCCGGAAATGAGAAAACTGCCTGGCTAAACATCTCTCCCTATATATGGGGCATTTCCCCATGGGCTGCTGAGGCCCTGGATTTGCACTGAGGTGGAGTCCCTACAAGTGCTCTGAGACCTGCGGAACACCCAGAGACCTGCAGCCTGGAGGCAGGAGGGCCTCCCCTCCCTTGAGGCTCTGAGCTCAGCAGATGTGAGACCGAAGGCTAGTGTCCCTGCTTCCCCATGCTCCCCAACCCACCATGGGACTGTGGGGGCTGTCTGCTGTCAGCTACACCCACTCTAGCCCCTCTGCAGCCCCCTCAGGCAGCATGTTCTCAAGTTTCCCGAGGCAGTTAGAGACCCATCCTAGCGGGCTTGCCTGGCCATTCTTGCACAGGCCAGCATGCTGGGGAGGGGCCCGGCCACGTGGCTGGTCATTTTTGAGTAGCCAGGTCCAAGTGCAGGGCAGGCTCCCCTTGCTCCAAGGCACAGCAGGAGTGAGGCCATGGGGGAGATGTCTGCTCTTGCCCCCATGTCCCTCCCTACTCCTATGTGAGCATAGTCCCCACCCCTGCCCCCTATCCCAAATCTAGGGCCCCTCAAAAACTCAGTGACCCATCTTTCCTGTATATCACATTTATTGACCTGATCCAACTCCCGGGCCCCATGGTAAACTGGGCCGTATGGCTGGGTTGGGCTTTTGCCTTCCCAGGACTGGCAGTTGGGTGGGCATGAACTACGTACCACCTGGAGAGCTGCCCAGGTGTGCCATCTAGCAGAGGTAGCTCAGCTCCAACAGCAGCGACAGGCAGGCATAGAGTGCACATGTGCGGCCTTGGGCCTCCGGTTCCCAGAACACCTGGGGGGCGCCCACCTGCAGCTCTAGGCCACACTCCTCCAGCAGGACCCAGGCGGGCCCCTCTGAGCCCCAGCTGCTCCCCAGGAACTTGGGCAGCAGGTATATGGCCCTGTGTTCCTGCCAGGGGCTGCTCTGCTCCAGAAGGCTCCCCACCTGTCAGGACAGGGTGGGAGGTTGACAGTGCAGGCTGTCCACCCCCACATCCAGTGCCCACCAGCCCCCATGCTCCTGGGGCCCCACACCGCAGGCCCAGCCCCCTCCGCTACCACCTGCACCCTCTCACCAGCTTGACCTGCCCAGGCAGGGCCCCTGCCTGCAGCTCCTCGGCCAGCAGCATATGCTGGGTTTCATTCAGCACTGGGGAGACACCTCAGGTAAGGGGGGTCCAGACAGCATGGCTGGGGAAGCCCATATCCCTGCCCTCTACCTGCCCCACCCGCAGGGGCCCCTCACCATCCAGTGCTTCCAGCAGGTAGAGGATGGGGCCGGCGAGTTCTTTCTCTAGCTCTCCGGAGGACAGCACCAGGCACTCGAGGATAATGCCTGCGGGCCCATCCGGAGGCTCCATCCTCCCACAGCACAGGCCCTGTTCCAGCTGGGACACAGGAGGCTGGTGAGCCTGTTTGGCCAGGCATGGGCTCCCCCTGCCTCTCACCCTCACCCCAGCTTGCTCACCGACTCCTGCAGGACTTGCAGGGCCAGCTCTTCCCTCAGCACCTGCCTCAGGCCCCCCAGCAGCTGCCTGGACACCTCCTTGGACAAGCTCTCCAGGCCCTTGGCCTGGCACTCGACCTCTGCCTTCAGGCCCTGGAATTCAGTGGCTGCCAACCAGTCCTTGTAGGTCCCATCTGTGGGGACAGAAGAGCCCTGGTCAGGAAGCGCAGACCCCCAGGGAGCAAAAGGGGAGCCCACTAGAGGTTCCAGGGGTGGACAAGAAGGTACTGACCTGACAGGATCCCGAGGTCACTATGGAAGGACGCTATCATGGAGAAAGAACAGAAGTAATGTGGGTGGCCCCTTACACGGCCGGAAGGCTTGAGGGCTGTCTGGGGCAGGATTAGTCAGGGTGCATGTGGATCCCCAAAGCTGAGTGGGCTGAGGCCTTCCCTGGGCCCTCACACTCCATCACCCGCCCCACCACTGGCAGCCACAGACAGGGAGTGGGGCCTTGCTGGGCTGGTGTCAGCCTGTTGCTCTGTGGCTCCCACATGTGCATGTGTACATGTGTATCTGTGCACATGTATGTGTATATACGGGCATGTGTGTGCGTCTGTGTGCACGTGTGTATTTGTATGTGCACATGCATGTGTATATGGGCCTGTGTGCACATATGCATGTGTGCTCCACGCCCATCCCTCAGGGGTCTCCCAGCGCAAGCAAAGCCTGAGGTTGCCAGTGTGCTCATGCATCCTCCCAGCCGGGCAGAGTCCACAGGCCTTACCCTCCTGGGGTGGCTTGAAGGTCTTCTGCTTCTTGTCGGGGAAGAGGAGGATATCTGGCAGCCAAGCAGGAGCAGAGATGGGGAAGGCAGGTCAGCTAGGCCAAGGGGCTCCCAGCCTCTCTCTTACCCACTGAGGCTACCCCTCACAGTTCCCCAAGTGTTCCCCAGGGTGCCCCAACTCCCCATATGCCAGAGCATAGGACCCGACCCAGGGAGCTGTGCAGCCAGGTGCCTGCAGCACCCCCAGCCCACCAGTGGCCCTTTCCAAGCCTCCTGGTCTCTACCACAGAGGCTAGGCCCCAAAATTCCCCCCAAACCCAGCTCACCCCAGTCAGAGCCAATAACCAGCTGGGCCACCTGGAATGCAAGGATGCTGCCTGAGGGTATGGTAACCGTCTTCTTCCTGCTCAGGTGGCCCTGGCCCTTGCCCTGAGGAATGGATATGGGCTCACGACTGGGCCCTGGGTTGTGGAGCAAGGAGTGGGCTGAGTGCTGGTAGCAGGGGTCTGGCACTCCTGCACTCTGGGGCCACAGCCCTCCTACCTCCTGGAGCCCTGCCTACCACATGGTCCACACAACACACCTGCAAGCACACAGCTCCAGGCAGGGCAAACTGGCCCGAGCCCTCGTGCCTGTGGGTCCGGGTGACCTCCACCTCCGTTTGCATCTGCAGCACCTCCGTCACCACAAACACGTTGTCCCCACGGTGCCGCAGCTGCTGCAGGACCTTGTGTTCGGGCTGCCGCAGCCGCCTGTACAAATGGGCGGCCAGGATGCTCACTGGCACACCTGGCCCTGGGCCAGAGGGCTGGTGTCCCTTCCAGGGACCTCAGCCTTATGCACAGCAGGAGATGCAGCCGAGAAAACCAGGGGCTCTGTGGATACTCAGTCACAGAGCACCTGGCATTCCCTCCCCAGGTACTCCTGACAGTGTTTGAGGGTGCGTGGGATGTGAGGAGGAGGGATGAGGTCCAGCAGGAATAAGTGGACACCTGTCGGCCCCCAGAGGGGCCCAGGCCCTCAGCTAGCTGCTCTGCAGATTGCTTTCTCCCTCCACTCCCTGCCCCTCCCGAATTCAAATTTAAAGTTTCCTTGCCAGTGTCCCTGTTGTGGGCTCCATGTCACCTCAGCAGCCCAGCCTCCTTGCAGTGGCTTGGGGCTAGGTCTGACCCAGTCCCCCAGCCCTCAGGATGCAGGCCCCAGTGAGCTCTGCACCCTCCTTCCCCACCACCCAGCCCCAGCACACCTTTGCCTCTGCAGCTTCCCTCCTCCTGTTGGGCCCTCGGCCTGATGCCCCATGGCTGTGGCCCAGTGCCTGCTCAGGGGCAGCAGGGCCCCACCCCCTCAGAGCTCACCTCTCTTGGTGCATGACGTCCCAAGTGTTGGGGGCCACTCGGAGCATGCACACATTCATTGAGGCACTGGAGCTTCCAGACACTGCAGCTTCGCCTGCAAACCGCCCCTGCCCTGCGGCTGTGAGCTCCACACTGCCCTTCAGCTGCCCGTCCATGGCGTCGTGGAAATGGAAGGGGCCATCGGGCTCCACAGCTGGAGCAAGACCAGAGCTGAGGCCCTGTCTTACTGGCTGTGGCCTGTCCTACCTGGGCAGAGGGACTTTTGAAAAGGCCCTGCCTGCTGAGGAAGAGGAAGCAGAGAGCCCAGAGGCCCGGAGCAGGCGGCAGGCTGGCCTACCAGCTCCCCTCCCACCCGGGGGCTCTGATTCAGGGCTAGACAGGGTACCTGGTTCCGGTGCATCAGGTTCCAGGATATCCTTGATGGACAGGTTGAGACACACAAAGCGGCGTTTCCAGAACCATGAACTTGAGCACTTCCTGCTCAACAGGCAGTAGAGCTGGAAGCTGGTGGAGCTCCGCAGGCTGTCTACAGGGATGAGCTCCCTGCTGTGGTCCAGCTCCTGGACTATACTCTTGACCACCCTCTCAAAGGCTGATGTCATGTTCCTGAGGAGGGCCGGTGGGTCAGGCATTTGGCTCTCAGGGCTGGAGGCGCAGGGGTAGGGGGAACAGCCACTGCTTGGATGCCTCCAGTGATGGGGAGATGTTTCCTCCAAAGCGACTCACTCACCCTGGCCAGTCCTGGGATGATCTGACTTGCAGAAACCTCCAGCTCCTGACCTTTACTCTACACAGAGGGGCACAGTGTCCACCCTGTCACCCCTTCCCCACTGCCCCCCGCTCACCCATCTCTCCATGGGGCCCTGAGCACCCCAGGGCTGGGATGTCATTCACAGCCTCCCGTGGGACTCAGGCCACCCACACCAGCAAAGCCCAAGAAAGCTTTGAGACACTCAGCACTGGCAGGGAAGACAGCCCTCAGCCACCCTCTGAGGCCTCCATCGCTTTGTCCTGCAGGGCTTCAGGCCATCGTGGGAAGCAGCCACCAAGAGAGGGCAGGGCAAGGCGGGGGCCTCGGCCGCAGCAGCTGCCTCCCTGGCTGAGGTGTTCTGGGTATGGGAAGAACCACCGGCCACCAACTGCTGGCCACTCGGCATGGGGGCCACAGCAAGGACCAGGAAGTGTCCCCAGCCCCCAGGCATGTCCTCTAGGGCTTTCTCTGTGCTCAGAGATCCACGAGCCTCCAGTTCGAGGCTGAGGCTTCAGTGGCAGAGGCCAAAGAGGGCCTGACCCAGGACACAGAACACCTAGGCCCCAGGCAGAGGAGCCAGTTGGCTGCTGGGGAGGAAGCCTCTGAGGCTCAGTGTTGCTCTGAAATGGGGCAGTGGGCCAAGGGGCTCCTGAAGGGCTGACCCCACCGCCGAGCCCAAACCCAGAGGGAATGACGAGGGGGCAGCCTTCCCAGAGGCCTGGGGCTTCCCCAAGCCATCTGGAATTTTGGGGAGTCCTGGGAAGGTGCTGAGATCAGGTCGCTGCTGAGAAGGTCCAGCACCCCCTCTCCCCCAAAGGAGGGGCTCAGTGTTGGAGCGTGTGGTGCAGCTCACCGTGACCGTCCTGCCCCGGCTCCTGTCCACGATGCGAAGTGAGGCCGCTTAGCCAGTCGAGGGAGCCGCCCAGCCACACACAGGCCTCCGGTGGAAAGTGAAACCAGGCCTGATGCCGCGGGGCCCAGCGCTCCCGGACACGCCCCTGCGAGCCGCCCACATCCTCTCCTGGCCTTTCCTACAACTCGCGCCATGGCTAAGGGGCTGAACAGACCCATCTCCAAAGACAAGCACAGGGACAGATGCTCACATCAGTAGCCGACGGGGAAATGCAAATAAAACCTTAGTGAGATGCAGCTTCGGCCGCCTGCTGGGATGGCTGGACAGAAGAGAGCCAGCTGTGAGTGCTGGGAGGATGAGTCGTGGGCCCTGCCCACTGCAGGGGACGCACAGCCAGCGGGGACCGAGTGGTGACTCCTTAGAGTCACCAGAGGCCTCATCAGTCGCACTCCAGGCATGTCCTCAAGAGAAAGGAAAGCATATGTTCACACAAAGTGTGCCCATGGATGTTCATGCAGCATTGTTCACACAGCCACATGGGTGAGGCTATCCAGGCGTCCCTCAGCCAGGGACAGTAAACAACACATGGTGAACCCGCACCAGGGAAGACTTTCAGGGCGAGAGATGAGTCTGCCATGGCACCGCGTGGCTGGACCTCAACCTGCTCCTCAGAGAAAGAAACTGGACACTAAAGCCCATAGGTGGCACAACTCACGTGTGTGACACGTTCAGAGCAAACCCATGGGGACAGAAAGTAGAGGTGAGGGTGCCAGGGGATGAGGGAGGGGGAGAAGGAGTGACAGCTAATAGGTACATGGTGTCTTCTGGGGTGACAGAAACATTCTGAAATTGTGTGACCAAAATCGATGGCTGCACAACTCTGAATATGCTAGAACCTGTGGATGTTCTGTACTTTAAATGCATGGATGGTATGGTACATGGATTATATCTCAATAAAGCTGTTATTGGGAAAATCTGGAAGCCAAGTCACAACATCTAGGGCTGACACAGGCTCCTCAGTGCCCTTGTTTTGGGTCACGTCTGAACCGTGTCTAGTGCAAGGCAGCCAGGAGCCCCACACCGCTCCTGCTCCATCTGTCGCCATGATTGCCTCTAGGCCCTTACTGATGACACGCTGGAGCCCACACCAGGGCCCCTGGCGGCTGGCTGCCCTGGCTCACCCTGAAGGCTCTATAACACTCATTCGCTGGTTCAGCACAAGTGGCTCAGGATCTGTGCCAGGTGAGGCTTCTGCTGGCAGCCCTGGCACAGGTGCCGGGCAGGCCACTTCCTGTGGTATGTGGGTTAGGATGTTGCAGCGAAGCACAAACTCAGACAGAAAGGAAACATAATTTCCTGCAGGGCTGTGTGGGGTCACTGAAGGTATTCTGCTCTCCATGCTGGGGGCCTAGATGCTGCCTGAGGCTGCTGGGGTGGGGGTGATGGGGCGTGACCTGCCCCACCCCACCCCTCGCTCAGCATGGACTTCCCAGCTGTGGTCCAGCCCCTGGAGCCCATTCACGGGTGTGAGCAGAGCGTCCTTGCCGGTGGTGGCAGGGGCCTTGAGCAGGGCTGAGTGTGTGTGTGTTCATGCTCGCGTGTATGTAAGCATATGTGTGCATGTCTCCACAGGAGGGCAGGAACCTGCAGGTTGTGTGTGCATACCTGTCTGAGTATTCACATGTGCATTTTATGCAGTGTGTGCATGCATGTGCATGTTGCTTGTACATGTGTGTTTGTGTATGCACATATACGAACCTGTGGTGTGTGGCTGTGTTGGGGGTGCTGTGAGGCCTAGGCTGGGTCCGTTGATGCAGGAAGGTGGCCCCTCAGGGCGCTCTCGGTCCTCCTCCCTGCTCCTGCAGGCAGTACCTCCCGGTGACTGGGTCTGAGGCAGAGGTGCCAGGCAGGTGCTATCCCCAGGCAGGAAGAGCAGTGTGGTGGCTGCAGTGGCCATGGCCACTGGGATGGTGTGGCACTCCATCCCTAGGCAATGAGCCAAGTCTGCAGCAGCCTGGGCTGGGTGTGGACAGGCCTGGCCGGGCAGTTCCTTGTTCGTGCTGTCGCTCTTCAGCAATGACCAAAGAAGCAGCACCAGGCTGGGCTCCTCTCGTGGAGGACGTAGGTCAGCTTGAGAGGGCAGGAAGGGAGCCCACCATGAAGAAAAGGCAGAGGGGAGGTGGTGGGGCTGGCCCTACACCCCATCCCTTCCTGGGCTCCCACTGGGGAGGGGCCTGGCATCAGGGCATTTTGAGACTGGGAACTCTGGGGCGACTTTATGTCATCCTCGGACTGCCCTGTTATATGGAGGTGGGTGAGGCCGCCCTGGGCAAGTTCTGGACAGGCCCTGGGGGCCCAGAGCTGAGGAGGACACCCTGACCCTGACGGCCCGCTGTGACCGGGAGCAGGGAGCCTGGGAGGGCACTTCTGGATGTGCCAGGGAAGGCAGCGATGCTGGGCCGCTCTAAGGAAGAGGGAGCTCCTCCTCCACCCATCCTGGGGGAGGGGCTGGCCTCCTGCCCAGCACAGCTGGGAGCTTGGCAGTGGCAGCACAGGCCGGGCCCCCTGCCCGGGGGCGGGGGTGTGGACAGCCCCGAGGAGGGACGGAGCAGGTCAGAAGGTCGCGGAGGGAACCCAGG